TGGTGGTGTGCACCAGAGGAGTCGTAAGTAAATGACATCCCAATAAACGCCATTGAAGTGGGTAGGCTCGTGACCAGCTTGGCGTCACGGTATATTTACTTACGCAGAATCTTTCATTTGAACTACACCTACAGACCGACCGTATCACTCCAAGGCAGTGATAGTGCAAGCTCTAGCATAGCAACATCGATATCACGACAGGCACCATGGCCACCCCTCGCTTCAACTCTGCATCCCCAGCACCCTCTCCCTTGCCTTCTCTTGCAAAGATGGCGTTTTGCATGCGTGCTGCACTTCTGCTTGGGCACTTTGGTCTGGGTCCGCGGATAGGCGATCGGGTCTTTGGCGTGTACGAGCCTAGGGTATTGGGTAGTATTTGACGCGTTTGGAATTGCAGTACGATCTGCCCTATGCCGGATATATGCGTGCCCGTCTACCAACACTTCCTACGCCAATGACATCGTACTCTAAACTTCGATATCCGCTTGGCCTGGTTATACTCACCCTCTGCTCGCTCTTCGCAACTTCTGTTGTGTTCGAGCAACATGACGTGTTAGTTAGAGGTGTGTATTTTCCGGTGCCGTTATTTTCTTTCGTCTGCCATCCCATTTCATTCGTTCCTATTCTGCTCAATGTTCATTTTTTTTATTCGTTCTTCTCGGAATTGGGTGCGCGAATGATCTTCGTTCTGAGTTTGTCTGAACACTGATTTCATCCGCTTTCTGACGCGCACCCCCATTCCCATCATCCTTTCCATCTTCCACCACCCCATTCAACAACTAACACCAACACTCCCATAACGAACACACACCCCCCCGTACCCTCTCCCTTATTTCACCGATCCACCTTCAACTATAAACCTCGACGCACACTAACCCTCCCTACAGCGCACGCCACACCCCTTCGATCTCTCGCTAGCAACCCTCCAAGTCATTATCACCACACACGTCGCATCTACAGCGTCTATCGTCCTAGGCGGCGTGAGTGGCATAGGCAACGGTGGTGTGAGTGATATAGGCGTAAAGTGAGCGGTATGAGGTATAGGTGCTGGCACGAAAAGCACAAACGGACTAGAAGCAGAAATGGAAGCCTTCTGGCGCGTCGTTCGCAAGATCGAGAGACACGAACACGTCACGAGTCTTCCTGCTCTGCATGTGTGGCAGGTATGTTCGCCCGAACAAACACAAACACAAACACAAACACAATCGTCGTTCTCCTTTGGACAGGGGGCTGCGGGCTCGATCTGCACTTTCTCCTTCTCTTTCTAATTCTTTGTTCTCGTTTTTCGGCGCTGCGAGAGGGATGGATTCCTTCAAATTCAACGCGGCAAAGGGGATGGACGCATCCAAATCGCCCCAGCTGATAATAACGCTCTCACCACATGTTCCGCCTTCGTTACGCGATGAGGAGGTGTTGAAGTTCGCGCGGTGGGCGTGTGAGCGGGTTAGGGGGAGCGTTTGTGGGCGATGGAATGAGGGCGCTTGGGCTTGGGTATGGGGTGGAGGTGGAGGTGCTGGATGTACTTAGGGGGTAGGTATGATGATGTCGACAGCGTGATTAGAATGGAAATCTGTTTTATACACTGTACAGGGGTTGATTGCTACGATAAACATTTTCCACTTATTCACTCGTGTTTGATTGACGTCCCGACTTAGAGCTATTGCTCAGCCTATATATTCCTGTGTTGTATGATAACACTGGAGGCAGTTCATTGTGGCAGGTTCGCACTCGCAATGTGCTAGCCCATTCTGGACTTCATACACGCTGGAACAACAAGGTGGTAGTGCCGGAAATTTTGGCACGGATCGAGGGGCGACAGTACTCGAACACAACAATACTAGGATCTAGATTCTGAAAGAAATCACCATAATGTGGTACGCGTACAAGATATACATACATACACTAGATGACCCGTTAGAGGAAAAGAAGAACCCTACGTCACAATGCACAAAGTAGCTAACTTCGTGACTGAAACGCGAAACGTTTGACAATCTGACAAGCCATTACAACCCTGCCTAATTTTGACAAACCTCCGCCTTGCTAATTGCAAATGCACACCTCACAGTCTCTGGAACAGGCTGTTCCTCCATATAGCTACCAGTCACATTCGTCGAATTTTGCGGGTCCTGCATCAGAACCACCCGGACTGGTTTGGACTCGTTGTACGCTCCCCACACCGGAGACTTGTCCAGCTTGTAAGTATTCGGCTTGCTGCTGCGCACGAAGGAAAGCCAGTAAGCAATGATTTCGGAAGCGAATGCGCGTTCGGCTAGCGTCTGTGGTTGGAATGTGAAAGTGCCGTTGGGACTAAAATATCGTCTCTATCAACCTATGTGGCTTTTTAGGATGGTCTGCGTGTCGTACCCAGTTTTAGTGCCATTAAACATCATCCAGATCTCATCAGCATGTTCGACTGGGATGATGTTGGACTCGATGCGTGGTTTAGGCGTGTTGTACCGATAAGTCCAAGTCAAGTCATCCGAATATCGCGAGGATGGGACACCCATGGCCTGGGGCTGAGGCGTACGAATCCAACGTGGGTATTGTCAGCATGATTCAAGGGTCTACACCGTAGTGAGAGGCTGAAACTTACATTACATCTCGCAGAAAGTTCGCCTGTGATCACCTGATACTGTTGACTCGGCGAATCAAAGTCGTCCAGTGGGTATAGCCACAAGAACTGCTGGATGTCTGTGTCTGTCAACAATGGGAAATATACCTTAAGTGCCACAGAGATGTTAGGGAACATCTCGGGAATAAGACTTTCGTCGGATGTTGCACTATCCACGTTGACATCAGCGAGAGCGCGGCACCGAAACGACTAGGGTGCAAATATACCCAACTAAAAGCGGAACATGAGCGAAGTCACCGCACTGGAACTTTGACGTAGGGTGTCCAGTAATCAGCACGTCGTCCACAACAGGACCAAATGAACGGTATTCCCTGCCACCACGTCAGCTGCGGAGATCCCTCGCATGGAGCGGGCAGAACTCACAAGGACAATTCCTGGAATGCAGCATCCTGCGCTGCTGCAAGCATACTGACATTTGCCATACGGATACATGACATTTTCATTAGCGCATCAGGCAGATCGCACCCTGCTTCTCTTGCGTAGAAATCGAAGAGGGGCTGTTAATGGGCGTTAGATGGGGAACTAATCCAAGTAGTCCGGCTGTGCGCTCAACATACCTGCTGTTGCTCAGGGGTGGGAAGGGGTGATCTGACGACGCTCTGTGCAATAGCACGAGAAAAAAAGCGGTGGGCTCTCCTTGACAGTCATGTGTAGTTCCACAGAGATGGCACCGGCGCTGTGCCCGGCGATGGTGACCTCGTTCGGGTTGCCACCGAATTTGCTGATGTATGACTGAACCCATCTGAGCGCCTGTCTCTGGTCCTTGAGCCCCGCATTATAGCCAAATTGGTCGGCGAACTCAGGAGGGGGTGGCAGGAAGCCGAAAGAAGCAAGACGGTAATAAACCGACACGATAATGACATTTGGGCTTTGTTCGATCCAATGATCAAATGGCCAGGTGGGCGGGTTTCCAAAAACAAAAGCTGTCACAACAAAATGAGTAAATAGGTACTGCTGTTCTTCAGAACACGACATTACCTCCGCCATGGATAAAGAACATCACAGGCACTACAATAATGAGAAATTAGAAACACAGATAAACCTAGGACAGGACATCCAAAACATACAGTTGTCGCCTTCTGTGGCGCCGAAGGGTGTGTAGATGTTAACATTTAAGCAGTCCTCTGATCCTGCTCCACCTTCTTTCCCAGCTAGGCCACGGAGTCAAAGAAAATCCAAGGACAGCAATCGCACGTACGAAGTGATCCTTGAATACAAAAGTTAGGGTGGTCGGTCGCGTTGACTACCTCCCCGTTGGCCTCTTCAGTCACACGTGTTGTATTTAGAGGGACAGTTGGACGGAAGCGCAGGTCGCCTACAGGGGGCTCGGCATACGGTATCCCAAAGTATACCACCGTGTTTGGGTATGCCTCGTCCAGCTTGCCTTGGTATGTCACATATCCCAAGTCGACCGTGGTTCCCGAGTTAACCGCGTTTGGGTACCGCTGGTTGCCTTGGTATGTCGCATATCCCAAGTCACCCGTGGGGACAAGTGGGATCTGTTCAAGTACACCACTGAAATCCTTGAATAAGGCGAGGTTCAGCAATCCGAAAATTGCGCCGAGCATTGTTGAGTATATAGGTGTCCGCCTTTGCAAGCGTAGTTTTTTAAATCAAACACCCCGGGGTAAAAGTCGAACTGATAAAGTACCACCTGCATGACACACTCTTTATAGTGTCAGTCGAACTGTAGCGAAGCGAAGTGGAAATTACAGTTCGAATTCAGATTTGGACGGCAATGAACTTCAGTTTAACCGGGGTCAGCAGACACACCTGTGCAGCCGGTGAACAAGGTACCGCCTGCATGACACACTCTTTATAGTGCCAGTCGAACTGGAGCGAAGCGAAGTGGAAATTACAGTTCGAATTCAGATTTGGACGGCAATGAACTTCAGTTTGACCGGGGTCAGCAGACACACCTGTGTAGCCGGTGAACAAGGTACTACTTCAGGGTACATACTTCCTGTTAGCCTTCGTCCGGGGGATCAGGTGTCACGGGTGGCGGCTCTGAGCAGAATAGTCGTAATCGTTTCCCCGCGATTTGTGGCGGAGACTAACCTGAGTTAAAATTTCTGGAATTCTGAAAGGGATGGGCTCGAGTCGGAGTCTAAGATTCTAATCTCAACATGACATCCTTCATATGTAGCACTGAACAGGGACGACGGGCTCAACTAAATACCTAACATTATGAAACATGAACCACATTCCGTATGTGAGAGCGGTTCCCTTCTTCCAGAAGATGTTGTAACAATGTTTCAATAATATCTTCAAGGCTCATGAGGGCAAGTACGAATACCTTCGATCAGGAATCGATCTGGGATGTCAAATTCAATCATGGTGCGCAATGCCATCACCTTCCATTCCCATTCAACGGCATCCGGAAAGCAGTTTTTTTTATCGTTATGACAGACGTGGCAGTACTGACACGCAAACGGGCTTCTCGGTGCCCTCGCTGCAGAATTCGGATCCGTGCGGTTCAAGGTTGCTCTATAGGGTGAAGTACATATGCTCAGGCGAGGCATGTCAAACATTCCATTGTTTACGTGGAGAAGTAGTTGGACATGTAAGATTCCCTACCATATCTGAAACAGTTGTTGAAGCACCTCAGTGCCTGTCGGATAATGACCGTCCCCCATGATGTACACAACCTTGAAGCAATTTGTAGAGAAGCCCACGTCCCACACCATCTTTACTCATCCACTGTCAGTCAATGCGCAGATTTCCCGAACGAGTATCTCAGAGCTAATAGGAGGGCTTTCAGGTTGAGTTTCTGTGTTGTGGGAAACCGGCCTGAAAGGCCCTCATCCTCCTGCTATCCTCCCCATGTAGTTGTAGCACACAATGATGTTGTGCCTCCTTGTCCTCCTTCCAGGATGCTCGCGATGTCCTTGGGGGTGTGGTGAGTGCGAGAGGGCGGAGTGGTAGGCTTAGGTTGGGCAGGCAAGAGTACTGGATGACACGGAGGCTGCAAATGGTTGTGCTGTTATGGGTGCGAGTACAAGAGGTCCTCTGGCGCTACAAGATCACAGCGTAGCCACGAACCAAGACACAGGAATGCGCGGGTCGATAATGGAGACAAGCGGTTTTGAGTGAAATGTAGAAGGTGCCGGCCTTGCGAAAATACTTGTTCGACTGCAGTTGAGGTAGCTATGGTGGGCAGCGCATAAGCTGTTATGCCAGCGAGAGTGATGGCGCTCAACTTACCAGGTAATCAAGTGCCATCCGGTGCAGATTTGGATACGTCTTTTGGCGGTGCACCAACCACTGCAGTGGGTCTTTGGTATTCTCCACTGGTTGCCGCGGCCCGCAGGTAGTCATCGAGCTCATCTACTACTAGAGACCAAAATATAACACCGCGAAATAGCCTCGGAGATAGGGGGCTACCCGTGAACATACCCGTATGCCGTGCGGACGGGTACGGTGTGGCCACGGGTAGCAAATCTCTACACCGTACCCGTACCCGTGACCCCTATACTCGCGGTGTGTTATACCCGCGCTATACCCTAGATCGAATGAAGACAGTCGTTCCTTCTCTGGAATTCGAGAGCGGATAAGTAAGTTGAAGTACTCATCTGACAGTACTAGCGACAAATGCTATTAGTGTCAGTGCCAAAGGGCGCTGAGACTAAGAACTTACATGTGTTTTCGTCTGTCCGTTTATATATACATTTTGGGCTTCGTCCACCTTGGGGAGAACAATGTAATTGTAAATGTGTTGGAGATCTCGGGATCAAGGCGCGAAGTCAACTCAATCATGACAACACAAGTAGGATCTAGAAATGACTATAATCCAGTGAGTACGTCTACAATATATACACTAGATAATACAGAGATGACCAACACGACGTTAGAGGAACTCGACGAGAACTCCGATTATGTGATCAATGAGCAAGCGCGTACAAGCAGCCAACTTTCTGGCCGAAACACGCGAAACGTTTGACAATTCGACGAGAGTCACTGCGACTCTGCCTAATTCTGACAAACCTCCGCCATGCTAATTGCAAATGCACACCTGGCAGTCTGCGGAGCAGGTTGTCCCTCCATGTAGCTACCACTCACGTCCACCGAGTTTTTCAGGTCCTGCATCAGAACCATCCGGACTGGGTCGGACTCATTGTAGTTCCCCCAAACTGGGGATTTGGGTAGCTTGTAAGTATTCGGATTGCCGGTGCGCACGAACGAAAGCCAATAAGCAATGAGTTCGGAAGCGAATGCTTTTTGGGCGTCCGTCTGTGGTGTAAATTCCGCAGTGCCGTTCGGACTAAAAATCCATATCTATCAGCCTGTGCCTATTAAGTGTGCACTGTGTCTTACCCAGTGTTGGTGCCATTAAACATCATCCACATCTCAGCAGCATGATGGACGAGGGTGAATCTCGGGTTAGGCGTGTTGTACCGATAAGTCCAAGTATCCGAATATCGCGAGGATGGGATGCCCATAGCCTGACCCTGACGCGTACAAATAAAATGTGGGTGTTGTTAGCATGACTCAAGGGACTGCACAGTGGTGTGAGGCTTAGACTCACAGAGCACAACACATTAGGTTCGCCTGTGGCCACCCTGAACCGATGACACTCAGAATGAAAGTCCTCGGGTGGGTATAGCGATAAGAACGCCTCAATGTCTGTGTCTGTCAATAACGGGAAAAATGACTTGAGTCCTACAGAGATATCCAAGTTCCCGGGAGTAAGAGTCTCGTCGGATGCTGAACTATCGATGTTGACATCAGCGGGACCGCGGGACCGAAATGACTCGAGATCAACATACCCAACTATAAGCGGAACATGAGCGAATTCACCGGACTGGAACTTTGTCGTAGGGTGCTCAGTAATCAGCACGCCGTCCAAGACGGGGCGGAATAAATTATATGGCCTGCCACAACATCAACTGCGGAAATGCTTCGCGTAGAGCGGTCAGAACTCACTTTCCCTGAATGATTGCTGCAATTGGCGCTGTATCCTGCGCCTGTGCAAGTGCACTAACATCTGCATCACGGAGGCATGTCATTTTATCTGCCACCGAACCCTCATTGCACTTTGCAAGCGATGCGTATATGTCGAAGAGGGGCTGTTAATGGGCATTAGATAGGGAGTGGATCTCGGCAGTCTGGCAGGGCGCTTAACATACCTGCTGTTGCTCAGGGGTGGGGAAGGGCAACCTGACCACGCTCTGTGCAATAGCACGAGAAAACAGCCCTTCGGTCCTGTTGGTAATCATGTGCAGTTCCGCGGAGATGGCACCGGCGCTGTGTCCGGCGATGGTGACCTTGTTTGGATCGCCACCGAATTTTCTGATGTAGGACTGGACCCATTTGAGTGCCTGGATCTGGTCCTTGAGCCCCGCATTAAAGTCGCCGTATGCGGGGTCAGTGAACTCAGGAGTGGCCAGGAAGCCGAAGGAACCAAAACGGTAATAAACAGACACGATAATCACATTCGGGCTTTGTTCGATCCAGTGATCAAATGGCCAGTTGGTCGGATTTCCCTCAACCCAACCTGTTGCAACGAGATTAATAAACGGGTACGGCCGTCCTTGAGAATATGACATTACCTCCGCCATGGATATTGAACAACACAGGCACTACATAGAACCATTGATATTAGAAAACGAAACAAGTTAGGACAGGAAATCTAAAACATACGGTTGTCACCTTCTTTGGCACCGAGGGGTGTGTAGATATTGACATTCAAGCAGTCCTCCGATCCCGCTCCTCCCACATTCCCAGCTGAGGCCACGAGGTCAGAAAAAATCCTAAGGACAGCAATCGCACATACAAAGTGATCCTTGGATGCAAAAGGCAGGGGGCTCGGTCGCGTCGACCACCTCCCCGTTGACCTCTTCAGTCACACGCTCTGTATTTAGAGGGACTGTGGCGCGAAAGCGCAGGTTGCCTACAGGGGGCTCGGCATACGGTATCCCAAAGTATACCACCGTGTTTGGGTATGTCTCATCCAGCTTGCCTCGGTATGTCACATATCCCAAGTCAACCGTGTTTGAGACCTTTGGGTACAGCTGGTTGCCTCCGTATATCTCATGTCCCAGGTCGACCGTGTGGCCAAGCAGTGTCTGTTTTAAAAAACCATTGAGATTATTGAATGAGCCAAGATTCAGCAACGTAAAAATCGCGCTGAGCATTCTTGAGTACAGGAGATCTGAGTGTCGTCCGCCCTTGTAAGTGTGGTTTTTTAAATCCCAGGGTAAAAGTCGATTGATAAAGTACAGGTTGCATCACACACTCTAATTTATAATGTTGCGCGACGCGCCAGGCGAACTGGATGGAGGCAAAGTCGAGTCAGTCGAAGACTCGAAGTTAATGTTGAACTTCCGAGTCTGGACTTGATCCGATTTGTGGCGGTTCTTCTAAAAATGGAACATGCCGGAACAACGCCGGAATTCAGTGCACTTCCATTACTTGACGTTTAACCGTACAGTAAACGAAGGGGCTTATCCTGGCAATCGTGACGCCCGTGTCGTTACACCATGCCTGCGGTGTTAGAAGTTGAATTCCACACAACTTACTTTCCTGTAGTCAAGTTGTACTGGACCGCCTATTCCTTCTGTAATGTGTAAGTTGTTCTCGAATCAGCATAATCGCCAGCAAGAACTCACCGACCCACTGATGGTGTTCCTCGAGCCTAGTGGGGATGATCGATGAACCCCCACGGGGGTTCTGAGCATAGTCTCCAAAGTGATGGTCGATCGCGGTGGTTTCCTGGATTGGTTCGGATAATCCGAAACGATTTGTGGCACTGACTTCATCCATGGAACCATAACTTAAAAGGCTGCTCGGGAGCGCGGGCATAATCAAATTTCCAGAACGGTGACGCCTCCTGTCGCTTAGTCGCATAAGCTGGATCCGATGACACTGTCGCCAAAAACCTGATCTTCATTTCTATAAGTTTTTTATGTAATGTAACCTTCCTTCGGTTAGGATGAGTCAGGTGTGTAATGCCATCATCTTCCATTCCCATTCAACAGCGTGCAGAATGCAATTTTTTTTTTGTATTGTCATGACAGGCGCGCAAATGGGCCCCGCCGTGCGCTCGCCGCAGAATTCGGATCCGTGCGATTTAAGCCTGATGCTATAGGGGTCTGTTCACAGGCGAGGGACGTCAAACCTTCCATCGTTTACGTGGAGAAGTAGTGCCCATGGAAGAATCAGATCTCATACCATGGATCATATCCGCAACACTAGTGCCTGCTGAACAATCACCGTCGTCCCTACGTACGCAATCTTGATTCTTGAAGCAATTTGTGGGGAAGTAGTAGATTACGTGCACAGGTTTTCCTGAAAGAGTCCCTCGAGTCTTGAGATAAAACACGGTAAGTGCTGCACATTTCTCTGCAGCAGGCTCGTCATACTCTGTTCACCGTCATTTGAGGTCGAAACACCAAGCCCTCTGTGAGGCAGGTGGCATTCATCAACAATAAATACTTCAAATACTACGATATCAGTACCAGTCCCATGATATGGGTAAGGTCGGGCATTCAGTCTGTGTCCTCCACGACTTTTGATTTACCTCGCCAGGAAGCACACTGCATAATGAACTTGACTCAGATTGAGCGTAATTGGATCCCGATGGCCCTCTCACAAAGCCAGTCCTGAGGGTCACGATATTCAGTGTCAGGTCGATGTGAAGTACAAATGATGTCATTTTCTGATAGGCTAATGCTTCTTCTTTCGTTGGTACCTTGGCGAGCACTTTCGCCCTAGAGGTAAGCACCTTAAGTCAACCTTGACTCGCACTTCCGAGCCGCCACGGGTGGATACAACATCTCTTGTATAATATTACATCAATGCATAACTATGCACTCTTAGCATACCACCTATTAGCTAGGTTGCGTTATCAATGAACACGATAATTGACATTTGGCAATACGAATCGGAGTACTAACAATCAGGCATGCTTAATGTTACAAAACATATCTGAAGTCCCTGTTCTGCCTATCCGTCAAATCCATGAATCCCTAATGCAGGTGGAATATCAATCTTGCACGCGATAAGCATCTATTTGGAGAACACACCTTGTCAACCTTGACTTCTACACGCCTTCCATCCTCTGATATTCGCTCTATAATGTACTCCTCTTCGGTATCACCAAAAGGCTCTGCGTCGCGGATTTGGTTCTCTCGGGCGAGAACGGCACGGATGACAAGGAGAAGTATCGGACAGACGATGTAGCATGCGCCAATGACAGCCCACGGGATGTGGTAACTGCACATGAATCATTGTTACTTCGAACCTTCCTTTCTAGAGTCAGTCGAAGTACTTACCGCGGCTTGTATTGTGCCTTCCACATGAAGGGACCAGCTACGTTGCCAATGCAGTAAGCCGAGAGCATGATGGTGTTCGTAACAATCTACAGGTTCACTTAAGGAGCATGCTCAATAATTGACGGAGTACATACCCTCTTCGTATGGCCAGCAGTCACGTTATTCAGCCACGACAACGACAGCACAAATACTGGCACAGTGGCACCCACTGCGGAGCGATGAGCACAGAACACATTACGGGCATCACACGCACTCAGGAACTGGCTGAAAAGAAGTCCAACCTAATATCGTGTGATATGTGATATTAAAGATAACCAGGTAGACTTGCGGAAGCAAGCCACATACCTGATCCGACCAAGGAAGTAGGCTAACCAGCAGGATGCCCGACCACCCCGGGATGAAGTACATGACCGTAACATATGCTCTGCAATTGGGCCGTCGTGTAGCAAGCCGAACACCACTGAATATCGCCAAGATCACAATCATACCAGGAACACACGACAAGAGAGTCGTCTGTAGATAGGTGAATCCGAACGAAGCGAGTATGAGTGATTGCTGGTTAGTCAATGAGTTAGGCACATTGACTAGAGCCGAGAAGAGGGCGAAGAGCCATGACTTGGGGTCAGTCAGGGCTTCAATCATCCTAGAGATGCGTATGTAAGGACGAATGAAAAAATATAACTGCGTCTAATACGTACTGCTCCCTCTTGAAGTGTTTGTTTTCTACACCTGTTTGGTTGTCCTGTGCTATTTGTCAGATAAGGGCTGATATCAGTTCCTTTGACAGACGCGCCTCGATGCGCTTCACGGCTTTGGCCCGCTCATCGGGAGTGAGAAACCAGGCGTTCGTAGGTGAATCGGGGAACAAGAACCTCCATCACGCGGGGATGTCTTAGTCAACTTACTAGGAACCGTGAATAAACTCACCAGAATAAGAGCGCAAGGATCAACGTCATTATACCGGTCATAATCATGAGCCTGTGATCTATCAGAAAGAATAGGGAGTGATAGAAATAAATGCCACCATTGCCATGGTTCAAACCCTCTGGTGTTAATATGTAAAGCACCAAAGCTGATGAAACCAGAAACGATTTGTGCTAGAGTTCGCTGGCTTAGTCGGCAACATCAAGCATCGCATTTCAGTAAACGCACCAGTGCCATTCATCAGGACTAGGTAATTTATTAGTTGACTTTGCGGATTGTTTAGGAACTGGAACTTACACCAATAACCAACCCGCCGTGTCTGCTCCGTCCGCGTGTAGAACATGGAGCTAACAATCAAGAATCCAGCAGTGATCGACCCTTCGCATACGCCTAGCAACAAGCGCACAACAACAAGCTCAATAAAGTTTTTGCATGCTGCATGACATGCAAGTACAACTGCCCAAACGAAGATATTGATACTGGCACAGGCTGTCATCGATCTTCACATCGATAATACCTGTGAAGCCTACCTCATCCACTTCCCGACCGGGAATCTCTGAAGGGCAAGGTTTTGGGGATACTCGAAGACAAGATAGCCGAGATAGAACACTGTGCCAAGCCTGAAAGATCCTCTCAGGCACATGCAACCCCGGTTAATACATATGTTTCACCAATTGTACCTGAAGACAGTTGACCGTCAGACTTTCGGATCTGAGAATAAGGACCTACTCATTCGCGGTCAGGTGCGTGGCTTGTCTGATAACAAATGTTAGTACTGGGGTTGAGTGAGTCCCGATACACAATCCTTACTGGATTCCAAGGATGGCCGCATAACTCAAGGTTGTCTTGTCCATGAATTGGATCCTATGTGCATGTAAGCGCTCATTTGTAGTGAATATAGTCAACCTACCAGTAAAGAACTGGGCAGTGATCATCAGATGCAATCTATTTAATCAATTGAGTACAGCGAACTTGAACTCACCACACATCAAAGGCATGATATGTCTATCGATCTTCCTCCTGAAACGAAGGCTTTCAAATCATGTTGATATGCATGCAATTTTCACAGCACACCTTATTCTCAAAGCCTCATCGGGATCAAGAGCTGAAGTTAACCCAGCAACGAGTTGAGCACCAGTGTCAACATCCTTAGCCGATAAGGAGACTCCTGCATGTTTCTCGTCCTTGAATGCAACACCGGAGGATTTCAAACTCATTTTGAGAGGATGCGATGAGGTGGTCGTACTTTGAAGGAAGAAGCTTCCAGTGCTTGCAACTTGCACAACAAGTTAATCCGCCTCTTTGAGATAAAAACTCCACAGGTACATTCTGGGACTGGTCCTGCGGTGATTCTAATCGAATTGCCCCATTAAAATTGTCTTAAAAAGATGTAGCGAGAGCAAATCTAAACATCCGAGGACCGAGGACACCCAGGAATTGGCAAGTCTGCCTGAGGTTTGCACAGACTTGGCGCGGACTTTGCGTCCAGGTCTATATAGATCGCGACCATACCTACAAGCCACCGCTAAGCATGAATTGCACGCGTCGTGCAAATAACAGCTGACCTTGCATACGCAGATCTGAGCTTCTTGGATATCTTTACGCCCTCGCGCCCTGGTAGGCCCGGAGTGCCGCACAATTGCCAAACTTTCTCCGACTGGTTGATGTTCAAATTTCCTCGAAGGCCGAGCTGGCATGTGCATGAACGTATCTCCGAATGTATCTGCTATCCGGATCAAGCCTTTTGCAGCTTTTATATCTCGGTGAAGGATATAATTCTGCGGTGAACGTAAGAAAAAATGAACACATAGTACAGAAGGTGAGGACAAACCCGAGCTCGATGAATACATTTCATGCCAAAAGCTGTTTCGTATACAATTGATAGGATCATGGTCCACACCTATATCATGTCGACAGAAAGGGCTGGAGAAGGGTGAGTTCTTGTCATTACCTCGGTGATCCATACATGACAAACAATATAATCATTAATTAGTCTAACGACGTACATATTCAAGATCTCGATGGTGCATGGGTGCTTTGGTGTCTTGAAATTTAATCTCGCGTCGGAAGTGTCGGACGGGCATGCACTCCTCCTTATGCAGAAGGGTAATTCCGAGAGCACTAGACGCTCGGTTGAGTGCTGAACTACTTTCTGAGCAAGGTCAGCGGTCGCGTTTAGTTCCACTTCCCTCCCGCACCACTTCTTAATCCTTTCCCCTCTCCACTCCTGCACCCTTCTACTGTCACACCCACATGACGGGACTCATCCGTGTTCGCAAAAGATGCCCAACTTTTGCAAACATTGAGCGAGGGTTCATGCTTGGGCAGCAGACGGCATGACATCACCCAGGTGCATCTCAGGTTCCACAATCGGAGGAAGGTCCTATAAAGTCCTCTTGTGAATATCAGGCAACTGCAACGGAAGGTAATGGATACACTCTGCAGCTTTCATGAGTTATAGAACTGAGAAAAAGAAACAGACCTTCAGTTCGCTGCGGCCAGCAGATTCGACACGGGGACGTACGCTTACGCTTACTGGACGTCATGTTGAAGGAAACACGAAAGCCACCAGCACCAAAAGACCTAACGGACGGACGCATGTTCATATTTTGACAAAACAACGTCAAGCAATCGATACAGTTGGTGGGGCAAGGGACGAGATGATGGCACGAGCACAAGGACGTAGATGTTCTTGAATGCAGCGGCGAGCAGAATCTTTTCGTCATGAGTACGTGGCACTTGCCGATTCTGATACAAATACTGTTCATGGCGACGCTATGCATCAATGTTCGGTAGATTTGACGTGAGGCGGCGCCGGGGAGGCAACTTGAACCTTTGACCGCCCGCAGGGCGGAAGTTTCCGATCAACCTAGACACTCACTGTACACGCCCTCAGCGCATACTTAATAAATTCCACACAAGAAAAAACCACCTATCTCTGCTTACTACATACGTAGATATACTCTACGCGTGTAGGTTGTTCTCGTTGTCTGGGGATCCCCATGGGGCTCGCAAAACGAGCCTGTCTCAACGGTCGCATTGGTTAGCCTAAATTCGAAAACGATTTTCTGGTCTGGTTGTGAGATACTACGGCGCCAGCGTGGTGACATCTTTGATCGCATTCAACATCGTGGTCCGACCAATGGCAATGGGCATGATAACACAATGAAATCAATCCTCAGCTAGGTAAGCTAGATACCTCCATTATATCTGGGTATTCATCTATACTTGGCCTGGAAGTTGGTTTCCGTGCCGTTACCCACCGTACAGGCTTGGAGTCCCTCTTGAAGCGCGAGACCAACTTGTCGGATGCATCAACTTTCCGGCGGTGGCCACAATATACGGGTGTTAATGCGCTAGAGGTAATTTGTATGACCTTTTCGTCACAATTGTGCGTCAATTGATGGCCACAATGCAGGGCGGACGGAAGAACCCTCCATCGGAGTCCCGGTCCTACTAATTATATAAAGAGGAGAACGGCCCGTACGGGTCTGCTATCTTGTTGACTTATACGAATTTTTGATACAAGATCGATTGCATATTGGTTGAATTGGCTGTTGTCCGTTAATTTCTTCTCACTTATCTTGAACCCCACTCATATGAACGGCACGCAGCAACCCCATGTACAGCATCATATACACCACTTCTTCCTGAGAGCCATAACAATAAGCCGTACGAAGGCTGCTCAGTAAGCCAGGCATAGATATTCGCAAGAACGTTAGACGGGAAGGAATCTCCGGATGCAACTCGGTGGTCTGGGTTGGATCTGACCAAGGATTGCGTACTAGTACTCATAATACTTGATTCAGCATTCGCCGCCGAACACCTGGTCTTCGTCTCTACAAGTTTTATCTCCACTTTCTGGGCGATTTCTGCTTTCTGCTTACTATTAGTATGATATGATCATCAGATTTCTGGCTTGATACCATAGGTAACGAAGGTACGTGGGGCGTATTCATTTCTTCTTTGTCGCTTCTTTGTTTCTTATTACTCGTGGGGAAAGTCAACATTAGGCTAGCCTAGACCGACAATAAATGGGTGTTTTTTTTTAAAAAAAAAACCTACGCAAATCATCCACTGTGGCCTTGAATCGTCTTGGAACTAGTCCAGCGTGTACGGTATGATTCGAAGGTGACACGTCGAACGCCATAGACACTTGCCATTTGTACCTTCGGTTAGATGTCAAGGTACGCACTTTCAACCGCATCCAGAATGCATCTTCATATCGCCATGACAGGCCTGGTATACAAACGGGTTGCGCAGTGCAGAACCCAGGTCCTAGATTGCGCGGTTCTTCTTAAGGGTATGGCATCGGGGTATGCTCAGTGGAAAATAGTTGGCCATGTAAGATTTCGCACCATGGATAATATCTTGGACACCCCAGAACAGGGATGCTGAGTACCGTTTACAAGGCATCCACACTCCACGGAACTGTCACGCATGTCATGTCTGTGTCCGATGGGCGCAGCTCATCACCGTACAAAGGCTAATGCTAAAACTCCTAGCGTATAAAAGGAGCCTCCGATAGATGCAGCAGCCCATATTCAACTCTACTCCCATCTTGTGAGTGATAATCACGAGAGGATGACCTCGCTAACAACATTACCACCCAGGGCGATTCGAGTTACATCCACTTTTCACGCTTACACCGCGTCCTCATCTTGAATTTCTGCAAATTTTGTGAGTCCTATTCGCTAGTCGCATGGCTCGCCGATTAACGCACAACTCACCAGTTCAGTATGTCTACTCAGAGACGCGGCGCATGGCTCCATCATCATCCCGACACTATCAAGGCTTGGATTAAATTGAAGAAGGCCTAACATCTCCCGAAGTACTCCGGCAGTCATCCCCGCCAGCTTGTTCCCGTTATCAAAGAGTTCGAGGACCTGGTCACTAATGACTCTGAAGTTACAGCGGCTTTCACCCGAATGATGGAGGAAGGTGCTGACGAGCATGTATGCGCAGTCCGATTTGCTTCTTTCGAAATCTGGCGCTCTACCTAGATACACAACCTCAACGCTTTTGCAATTTCTCAACGAAGCAATTGCTGAGGCACCTCAGTGCCTGCCGGATAATGACCCTGTCGGCATTCCTATGTACGCGATCTTGAAGCAATTTGTGGAGAAACCCAAGGTCAATGCGCAGATTCAGAAGATCTTCAGAGTCTGGACGAGGTTCCTCGTCTCCCCTTCATCGCGCAAAACCCTCACCACTGATATGGACGAGTGGTTTGGCCCGCACGGGTCGCAGCTGATGCCCGATTTCGTGCAAGATTTCGCTTGTAGACCACCGGAACCTTTGGTTTCACATCCTGGGATGACTTTTTCGTTCGATAACTCAACCCTAGTGCACGCCCCATTATAGGCGCCAACAGACAATCTGGTCGTTGGCGATTGGGAGAGGTTTCGACGTGTGAGATCACGGTCTCGAAAAACGACAGGGTCAGGAAGGGGGATGAGATCGGCATGTTCCACTTCGGAGGCTCTACTCATTGCCTCATCTTCAGCCCTGATGTCAACCTCCACTTCGTCAACGCCCTTGGGGGTGATCTCCTCCCAGACGACAAGCTCGTCATCAATACTAAACTCGCGGAAGTGATTACCGGCGAGTCGTTCCACTGCGGTCAGCATTGAGTGTGCTGTACGATACTAGTCCTTAAATTCCTGCAGATGAATTGCGAAGTCGATCATGATCCATCATCACCAGATACTCCCTTGTGTTGTACTTTTATACTACTATGCTTGAATGTGGCAGCGATGACCTCTTACGTTGCTTTCCTTAGGAAGTATTTTGTTACAACACGGAAACAAGATAAGGGTCATAATGAGAGAAAGAAAGAAAGAACGGCTGTCTTCCTTCTCTGGTGATCAGAGGCGAGCGGGAGTACGGAGAGAGCTGTTAAGACAAATATATTATCTCAGTCTTCGATAAGAACTCGCGCTATACGGCTGGACTACCTGTTTAAGACAGATACATTCTACGGGGTATATTAGCTCGTTATACTGAGTGACGGGGAACATAGGGCTTACATCTCAGTCTTCGATAAGAACTGAGATGTTCGGACTTCGTAGCTTGATCGTAGTTAGCATAGAGATAGGATGAAAACTTCGTAGCATAGGAAATGGCACTTTATGCAATAGTAAATGACGGCCGACGTCTCCGGCTCGGACTTCGATCCCGAATCCAACACCTTCCACTAGGGGAAACCAATAAGAAGTAGGATATGGTCCCAATGCAGGACCAGATGAATGCAATCCCGTACCGTTATAGACTGGCTCGTATCCTCACAGCCAGACCCTTCCCTTCATCCTCATCGAGCTCCTCCCTCGACTCAAATTCCCGCTGGTGCATCTCCCGCCGGCTCAAAGGTATCTCACCCTCCTTCGCTTTCTCCAACGCATTGACTCCTGCACTCGAGTTAAATGACGGAGCAGGAATGATATGATAGTGAACCTAGGCACCGCAGCGTCAAGGGAGCTTCAAGCTTTGAAGATTCTAGCACGTACGTGTGGTACTGCTTGCGCATACTCCTGATTGCACACCACATTTAGTGCGGTGTTACCCAATGCTTCGCATATCTCTTTAACACATCCCACCGAAAATTACAACAGCATCCTCACCTTTCGTTAGTCCATTCGCCACTTTTGTTACAGCCTGTCCCACCGCACCGGCATAATCTGGGGGTAATTCTGACAAACGCGAATAATGGGCTTTGGGTATAACAAGGGTATGTCCTCGTCTCAAAGGCAATATATCTGAAAAGGAGGTCAGTAGGGTTTTCGCCCGCTTCTTAGCGCAAAGTACCTAGGATGGCTATGACCTTATCATCCTCATACACACGCATCGAGGGCATTTCGCCAGCAATAATACGACAGAATGGACATTCACGGTCCGCGTCGTCTCTCCATTCTGTAGGTATACTGCGGTTAGTATGTGCACTAATGATGAACGATGTCATGAGGATGCAGGAAAGGGAATCGGACAGAAGGGGGCTCAAAGACTGTTTCTCATGTTGGCAGCTGTTCTGAGGTCGCACAAAAGCGCTAAGTAGAATATAGTAAGATCCATGTGAGATCTGGTCTATGAATACTATGAAAACATGTGCAAACAGGATGTTGGCAGGACGGGCGTCTAGGATTGATTTATGGGAAGATTGCCGCAACTACTCCTACTATTAGTATACATCCATCATGCATACGCTGCCTCAGAGCCCTTCTCACTGAACCCATGGTCCTCTCCCTTGACAAAAGCACGCGTACATTGTGCCATCGTGACGGATCTACCAGCAATATGTCAGTTTGAGTGTACACCAAAAAATCGAGATACTAACGCGCGTGAGATGGGGTCGGTTTGATAGAAGTTAGAGATGGGCTTGAGGAAGGGCTTGCCAGAAACCTTCGCGGATGCGGTATTGGCTGCTATGGTCTGAAGACCAGCCAAAGCAACTTCAGGAGACGTCCGTTCTGAAGTGTCGTAGCGAACGAGAGTGGGCGAGATATCCCACATGCGGTCACGCACAGACAAGACATCATCGTAGGGCAGTGGTGAACCGAGGATCTCAGAAAGTGCACTAGCGAATATAATTTGAGCATAACGAAGAGTAGAACGAAAATAGCAACGCACCGGATAATCTTCCAATCTTCGCGAGAGGCGCCAGGTGGGGGAACAGCGGCACGACCTAGTTGAGACCGGCCCTCAGTGTTCACCCATGTCATGGTCTTTTCAGTGTATGCTGCGGCAGGCAAGCAAACATCAGCGAGCGAGGCGCCAAGGTCACCATGGTGGCCCTGGTAAACGACGAAAGCGTTTGCAGGTATAGACTTGGGGTCAACTTCGTCGGCGTTAAGCAAGTAGACAAATTTGGGCTGGGTACTAGCGGCCTTCTTTGAGGGAACGAAACCAATCTCGTATGCCGCAGGTCTAGATGCAATCTGAAATGCAGTTAATTCGCCTGAAACTCAAAGGTTAAAAGCCAGGCCTTACCCTATGTAGGACGGAGAAGCCATTCCATTGAGGGGTGATGAGCGAATCTTTGTTCTTCTCGACAAACTTGGCCAACGCATTGTAAGCAGCAGCACCGTCGGGCTGCTCCGCAAGAGCGCTCCCAACAATGATTAAGGGCCGGTTGGCTGCTTTGAACTTCGCCGCAAATGCTCCCTTTCCAGCAATGAAGTCAGCAAGAGCCTTAGAGTCTGATCCGAGGTAGTCGTAACCGTACGCCATATCAGCACGTTCGCCGATGAGGCCAACCTCGAGACCTGTGTGCAGCCAGCTCTTGCGAATGCGAGAGTTAAGCACAGCAGCCTCGTGGCGTGGGTTAGTGCCAACAAGTAGGATGGCATCGGCTTCCTCAACACCAGGGATGGTAGAGTTGAAGAGATAATTGGAGCGAACGTCAACACCATGTGGGGGTGGCGCGCTGCCATTGATCTGGTCGAGTGCGAGATTGTCTGAGCCTAGGCGGTTGACCAAGTCTTTGAGAGCGACGAGGGACTCAGTATCGGCAAGGTGTCCAGCAACAGCTTGAATCTCGTTGCCAGTAGCTCCTGAAGAGGCAAGACCATCTGCAATTGCTTGCAGAGCTTCCTCCCACGAAGCTGCGACGAAACGGTCACCCTGTTTGATAAGAGGCGTCGTCAAGCGCTGGAACTTGAGGCCGTCGTAAGCATAACGCGTCTTATCACTGATCCACTCCTCGTTGACATCGTCGTTGGTTCGAGGCTGGATGCGCATGACCTGAACGCCACGAGAATCGACGCGAATATTCGAACCAACAGCATCCATAACGTCGATGGACTCAGTGTTTTTTAGTTCCCATGGTCTGGCGTGGAAGGCGTATGGTTTGCTTGTCAAAGCACCGACGGGACAAAGGTCGACGATGTTGCCGGAAAGTTCGGAGTCCATGGTCTTCTCGACATACATGCCGATTTGCAGGTCATTACCACGACCTGTCGTACCAAGCTCCTCGACACCGGCAACCTCGTTAGCGAACCGGACACACCGCGTGCACTGAATGCAGCGGTTCATGGAAGTCTTGACGAGGGGTCCAAGATCCTTGTTCTCCACTGCACGCTTGCCTGTGATTTCGTGGAAACGCGTGCGATCAGAGCCGTATCGCATGGACTGATCCTGAAGGTCACATTCACCACCCTGGTCGCAAACGGGGCAGTCGAGTGGGTGGTTGGCCAGAAGGAACTCCATCACACCCTCACTGCGCACCTTGTGAGCAGAAGCAATGGCATGCAGACCGCTCAACACTATCTCACCGAGCTTCATGAACCAGCGGGGTATTTGTGAACACCTTGGAACCAGGCATGGCAGGCATAGCACTGAGCATCAGTGATAAATGCGTGAACTTATAAAATGAGAAGATTGTCATACCATGATGCTACTGGCTTTGGGGAACGCTCAACTTCGACCAGACACATACTAGAGCAAGCGTTAACGAATGCCTTTCTTTTCTCGTCAAACTTTCTACTCACCGGCAGTTACCAGCAATGGCGAGTCTAAAGGGCATTTTCAGTCTGCATCTTCTCAAAAGTAAGAAAAAAACATCCTGACGAACCTATCATGGTAGCAAAACCTGCATGAGGCGTTAGTTAGGACCTACCGGGGTGGTACGGATAGATAGAAAAGACGTACCGAGGAATCACAGCACCAGCAGCCTCACAAGCTTGAATCAACGCGGACCCTGCGCGATAGTCAGCTAAAACGCGAAACACGGAAAGAAACATGAAGGTATGTACCTTGCGGGACCGTTACCTCCTTCCCGTCAACAGTAAGAGTGATGTCAGCTTGACGTGCGGATGTGGACGCTATTGACCTGCGGCCTACAAAATATGAACACCCGAGATGAAATAGAGAACATGGCAGTCGCACCTCCATGTGAAGCACCAGAGCAAACGACCTTCCCGAGTCGCCCCGTCGAAGTGGGCCGCGAGACCAGGCGTAACATATGTTAAAGTATTATCTGGAGGATCAAGAAATGTGCAAAGAGGCCCGAACAAGTGCAGGTCGCACGGACGAGCGCTGTCGGTTAAAAAATGCGGGGAATATCGGTGCTCGTCGTGATACACGGCGACCAACGAAATCGCGAGTATTACACGATTCGAGCGGAGCTCAAACTTGTCACGGTGCCGAACACGTCCCGGAAACATGGTCGCGTTCAAGATGTCATTATCATTGCAGGTCATTGCAGTCAGTAGATACAAAAGTACAAGTAATAGTAAGTGTCCCGACTAATCGCGGCGGTTCCAGACAGCCAATTATTAAATGATTACCAGATTACCTCCTCCGCCCAGTCCATCAAGCCTCAAGGAACATAAATAACCAGCAGGACATTCACAATAAGCTTCTCCAGTTCTCCATTCGAGACAAAGTGCACCCTCTCCTTCGCCATCGGACCGGGAACCCTGTCCGAAAGAATAAAGATTTCCGCTTCAGAAAGGGGGATAGCACCGCTTTCCTCAACCCTCATCCTAAGACTGTCAGCTTCGATCTTCATCATCTGCACGTCATCTTCTTCTAGGTCGCCGTAGTAACTCATGGGACCACGGATGGATTTTGCTGAGCGAGCAGGTGATCCAAAAGCGCTAGGAAAGCCCATTGATAGGCTTGTTGGAGAATCCAGAAGGTCATTTCCGCATTCTACGGTCCGATCTATGGGCCAGACGTATCCCCCTGCTGCCCAATGTAGTTCTGGCGCAAGCTTGTACACCTTCAGGGCATGGTATAGAAGAGAATCGCTTCCCTTAAGCTGGTCACCTTGCGTCAATAAAGTCCTGCACGCAGTAAGCTCAAACTCACATGTGGAACCAACGATTCGGCGAGGCCCTCCGATGGGTTGACACCGTAATCTTGGCTCAAATAGAACGCCACTTTTCGTCCTCGAGATAGGCTAAGGACGGGGGAAAGAAGATCAAGGAAGTGCTCGCTCGGCGTGATAAGAGGATCGACTGCCGCGCCGTACGTCTTCAGATGCACGGCGTACGTGATACTCATCCTGCATCCTTGCTGGATGGTCTCGACTTCGTACTCGCATTCCCCAAGGAACGCAGTCCAGTGGACCTCGCCAGGTTTGCCTCCGCCTCCGAAGAACTTCTCTTCCGCCCCTTCCGCATCTCGGACAATCATAGTTCCCCCGCGATAGTGAACGGGTAGAGTGACACATATCGTAGCAACTCTACCATCGTTGCGTAACGTACGAGACTGGGGTGCCATACGCGATCCAGTGACCATCACCTCTAGCTTATCTCTCAGGGCCGTGAGGTAATGCCCCATATGTAGTGCAGGGAAGAGTGCATTGCGCACTGCGTCAAGGATCGGGTGGTTAGCGATTTCGAGCGTTGCAGTCAAGGGAAGATTTGCGGGGTAGAATAGGGCTTCACGATCAGGGTATACATCATATCCAGGTGTCGGATGAGGTTTACATGCTGCGATTAGTACTTCAAGAGCCGGGGGTGTGTCGTAATCAACGTCGATGGGGTAATCAAGCGAGTGCGTGATGCCACTCTATGAATCAAACTCAGACCATGACGATAGATCGATGCCACGAACAACTCACCTTCGATCGGAAGAATAGCACCAAGGACGCTGGGTCCATGGGAATGCGACCGTTGACAGTGAACGGACGCGCTTTGGCGGCGAACAAGCGTGACACGCTCGCACGAAGAGCACTTTCTGCGCCATATTCAGATTGATGACGACGAAGACCTGGTCGCTTTGGCGATGAGTTGGACAATTTGAGCGTTCGCTCGATCTCGAATTCGGATACGCTTGATGATTTCCGCGCAAAATGACGACTGCTGCTATCTGAGCGGCTGCTGTCTGAGAGGCGACTCGCAGCAGAGGGTGTGGGAGAACCCAGTGCTGATCGTGGATGCATAGTAGGGGTATCGCTAGTGGTTAAGGAGAAGATTGAGGAACTGGGGAACTGGATGGGCCTCTATTTACCAGTCGGAAACAGTCAGTGGCCAAAAAGAGCCACATCTGGCGTGCCGAGATCCACTGGACTACGGTGGCATCGAGCCAGTCACGCGCCCACAACGTGTTTGATCCATCAAGGACAAGACGGGATGAAAGTACAGCAAGGTATCTTTGGAAGGATTTGGCCAACCCGCTAGCATTTCGAGCCGAGGTTTCACATTCGGGCGAACGTTCCTGATCACATCTTTGGAAGAACATCTATAGCGGTCCTGACAATTGAATAAAGTTCAAACAATTTGACTTCGTGATTTGAAACAGCCCGCAAGACTGAGAACAACGCGGCGTCAGCATGGCGATTCTAAGTGAAAAGTAACAAGGCATTATACGTACAATCATCTTTTGTCTCTTCAAAAGCTTCAATTGAAAAATACAAAGCGCCCCGATGAAGTCAACAACCCTATGATCAGCTGACACGTGCATACCTGACATACCAGGATGTCCTTTGTACAGCAAAGTTGCAGTAACATCCCACTCCCGGTCATCCGCAATTGTTTGAATGATCGTGTTTCATTTCAGCGCTTCTTGGCATCTATGGTGCACGTGACTCGGGCGGGATGCCGATGTCCTTCGGCAACAGTATCGTTTGCGTTTACACTTTCCAAGAAAGAAAGAAAAAACATATTGCCACACGCTACCTACATATCAGAGGACTCGACAGTAATATGTCTGCCAAATGTATGCAGCTACAAGCTTAGTCACCGCCTGCATCTGAACAAACCTAGCCAGCTGTGAACACGAGGCATCAGGAAGACGTCCATAGCGCACCTGTGTACTGCACAATTCCGGGTCGGCAAGCATCCAGTGCTGATCACACTGTGAGCATGTCGGGAGTCAAGGAAGGTGGTTAGGCGAAGCTCCGGCACTTGCAAGGCCTCCTTCCACATTGGTGCACTGCCATCAGATGGTCACGCTCCCAGAGCAGAGCGTGGTGGACCAAGGCACGATGCCTATGCTATGGCGGTGAACGCAGCCATAAGAAACGTAGCTGAATTGTGGCATGTCTGTCACAGACACCAAGGTCCAGCCGCCATCGGAAACAGAAGACGAATATGGATCGATGATCGAGGGGTCCACCAGCCGGCATACCCAGTGACCAGAGCCTGCACCTGAAACGTCCAACTGAAACGTCCAAGGACAGCTTCCCCGTCCTACTCAGCGACACACTCAAAAACGTATGGGGTTACATACCAAATCTGCCACATATGAACCAACCGACCGTCTCCAGAACACCTTCGCCCGTCTTCAATGTAACCAACGGGGGTCTCCGTGACTAATCATACTGAGTACGCAGTCATCGTCAGACACCGAGAACTGATCATGGACCGATGTCTCCATTGGCAGGAGGAGATGGGGAATCACCGAGATCATCATGGGCGATTTGACCGGTGATCCCCAATTTAAAGAATCCTGGACCATGTACCCACGAGTTTTTCTTGACCCAGATATGATACCGTCTACTTCTTTTGCTCCGCCTTATTCACCATGCCATGTTGCTCTTCAGGGTCGCCTTATCTATTTTTCTCATTCCCTTCTTCCTATCACTACGCAGCCTTATTGGGATCCAGGAGCTGGTTGTGCCTCCACTTTATTTTTGTATCCAAGACTGTGATACAGCCTGAAACTCGCAATTTCTCGAAGAGCGGCGGTGTTAGGCATTCGCGATATACTGACGTCGCCGTGAATATACCATATGCAGGTCCACGAATGGCTTCAAGATCTGGTATCGTATTTCAACTTGGTTTCGGCCCGCGGGGTTCCTGCCAGCTCTTGTGCGAAACCTGTTCTTGATATCGTCACTATGACCCTCAGGGGTAGTGATTGGTCGTGCTTATCGGCATCAAGAGGCCTCGTTTCCAGATCACATATGAGCGAACATGATCATGATGCTGATGCTGCGTCCGAGGAGTTGGTATATGTTCGAAGGCTACGACTCGGCGATTACCGTTGATGATCCTTCAATTGGTTCCAAATTGGCTCTGTTTATTTCTAAAGCCTTTGCCAAACAAGAAAGTGTTGACAGGAACCTTTGGTCACCACTTGGTGGCACTGCGAGAATGACGCGAAACCGAGGCACGACAAAGATATGAAAACACCTTGAGATAGCACAATGAAATGTGATAACACGAAATGGGACTAACCAAGAACGCTCTACTGTCGGATATTCCCGTTACAGTACTTATCAGGACTAGTAAGGACTAGTACTTGTGATACCGGTCACTTGAGATTCCTTGATCCGGGACTTTCGCCTCTCAGAGGACTCCTCTGGCGTACATCTGTTGGTAGAGGGTCTTCGCACTGGTAGCCTCGTGTTCTTCTTGCTCCGCAAAGCCACCAATCATTCCCATCAGCCATGACGCAATAGCACAGCGCGTTGCAGTGACGGACAGCCGTCTGCTTCCAAGTTCCGGTTTCTGTGCGTGCGTACGCCTGGATCAATATCTTGTCGAAGTCTTTCCTCCACGATGGTTATATTCCATCGTCGGTAAATCGGTCATCGCAGGCCCCCGTGTACCAGTCTTCCCTAGCCAGAGTCGAGACCTACAGAAGGAAGACCTTTTCATAAAGCCCGTGCGCCCACCTACAGTGAATACGACATACATGGCATCTCTTTTGCACCCTCCAGAAGCGTAAACTGCATGAACAGCTCTTATACCCAAGGCTCCATGAATGTCGATATGAACCGCAGAAGGGATACAAGTTCCGGTTGCTTCTGGTATTCTTGACATCGTCACGGTCGATGTTCACGCTCGGAATCTATTGTGGATGTCTTTCCTCCACGACGATCGGGGGTATCTAACGTTCCGTGTTCCGCAGTTGTCGAATAAAACGGCGATCATACTTGAATCCCCCAGTCGAATTTTTGGCTCCTGTGCGCGTGCCTACAGTTAACGGCCGGAGGTTTGATTCGTATGATCAACATGATGCTTGCTCTGATACCAAATACTCTCTAGAAGTTGATATGAAGTCCAAATTAAATGAGATGACATCAAGAGATAGTGGGATTCACTGTGGTACGCAGCCTTTTGCGATACACTACATGACAAAATTCATAGAGTCTCGATCATCTGCCCAAAGCCTCGCATACTCCAAACATAGTCTGTAGACGTATGCTATTGCCAAACCAGGTTGAGTCAATCGGATTGCAAATACATCGCCGCAAACCTAGAACGCACCTTCCATATCAACAGTCCTTCCGATTGTTTTCCTCCACTGTCTGCCTGCACGTGCGATGCGCTGTAAATGCCGATCGCCTTCTAGTGACCGTAGCGTGTGCGTTGTAGTCAAGTTTGCAGCTTCCAGAGTTGAGGGCGTAGGTCCTGAGAAATACGCGTGGATGTTGTATATCTCGGCGTAGGACGAGGATAAAGGTATATAATGTAACCTTGCTTGTCATTCAGCCCTGCATCCGAGTGCCAATTATGAAACGCACCATGGCTGCAGCCAATCTGTGAGGAACTCTCGCCACACAGTACTTTTGATGACGGCGCTTTCACTAGATAAAAGTGCCAAGAAACGTCCCGAGTAACCCATACCATCAAGATCGATAAGATATTTGTACGCCCAGTGCTGACCGAGGGGGACGGGTGGTGCGAAGCGGTGACTTTTTCTAAGTGCTTCCTCGCCACCAGGAAACCCGCCAGTCGTCGAGACAAATGCAGCGTCCATTATCTCAGCATTTAGCTGTCTCGCGGGCACGGTGGTGGTGATAAAGTTATCAGAGCTTGAAGGGTCGGCATGGATGATCGTCCGGTTTCCTGCCGCGCTCTCGTGTGTCATGTGGAGAAATCTGATATAAATATAAAAATCGCGTAATGCAGGGGCAAGCCCAGGAAAGAATTACCTGTGTCGTTGGTAATGCGACGCAAAGCCTGGGGGAGTGCTACCACCACCAGTGTCCGCACCACGCCAGAAAATCAGATTTATCTTTTCTTCCCATGGTAACTCCAAGTCATCGACGTCTTTGGGGTCATTACTCGCGGGATCGAATCCGTAGGTGTACCTGGGACTTTGTCCCAAGTAATAGTGGCTCGGAATCCTAATATCCAGAAATCCTGCGGCCTTCGCCGGGGATAAAACGGGGTAAAGCACTGGTATTGTGCGCCAGTCCGAGAAAAAGTGGCCCTGGGAGTAGTGAGCCCAAGGATGCGAACAGTAATCAATGGAATCATCGACGGTTGGCACAAAGGTAATTTCGTCTGCCTGAGCTTGAGCGGAGCCAAAGAAGACTTTTGAACTCTCAGCATTGGGATTACGGTATGAACTGTAGAGGCGACGGGCTTCAGTGTCGGGAGGACACGTTCGGCGATACGCCGCCCAAACACTTCCTTGCCCCTTCCAATCAGAAGTGAATCCATCTCCAACCATGGTAGCTATTCCACCTAAAGCACAGTTAGTGCATGACCGCACGTTTACCAATATCATAGCAGACCTGACGAATCTTGCAGTGTCATGTTAGGAAACTGACGATGTTCCCAAGGTACCAATATCCTGCCCTCCGCCTTCGAGTTGATGGCGAAGTACATGTCAGGGAGCTATAGGCCTTGATGAACAGAGGGAATGGGCGGAGGGGGTTGGCACACGCACCTTGTTTTCAAATTTCGCGAGCAAACCCATAAACCCCAATGCTCTATGTCCCCGCTCTCCATCCAACTTATCAAGGGAGACGGTTTCGGCCTTCCCACCTGCGATGCGGATCAAATCGATAGACGGAAGTTCGCTGACCTGTAACATGAATGTTATGCTACCTTAGTTGAGACATATCACACTCACTTGGACAGCCCTCCTTCGAAACTCCACGGGCGACATATTCCAGAATGGTGCGAGGTCTTCGTTAATGGCGTCAAACTCGTCCACCAGTTTCACATGGTTTTCCTGCGCAAACTGCCACCAATCTCCAAACCCTTTTGGAGGCTCGCGTCCATATCGTTTCCTGTATTCAACGACAGCATCTTCAAGCGTCTTGCTTTGCCTCGAAAGCATACCCTTAAACTTCTCCTCCGCATCCGCCATCAACTTCGGTATAGGGTGTTCGGTGAAGGGGTATGATTTGCCATCCTTGAGAAAAGGGAGCCACTTGGAGGAAGTCGAGAACCAGTTTGCTCGCGAACTTGAGTTTCGTTGAGAAGTATGATCTTTGTGACCGGCAAAGAGGCCAGCTTGCATAAAAAAGAGGAAGACACAGCCAAGAAAGATCCAGCCGCGCCATCTCGTCCCCTGTGCTTCATCTCTATTGACGGACCGCATTGGTGAAGTGAGAATGAATCACTAGCAATCGAGCGCGTAGATTGTGTGTTCAAGGTGAGGGAAGGCGAACATGAAGAAGACTACGGCACTTCGGCGGCGTAAACGGATTACCATGTACGTAACTGGATCATCATGCATGAACATTTGCCCCTTTTGATTCTGACCGTATCTGACGACTGCCAGCAGCTGGGACAAGTTCAATTTTGTATTTGCACAAAACTGACAGGTTCTCCAAACCTTTCTCGAGGTACCCGGGTTATCGCATGACAAGTGCTCCTAGTGCTTTTTGCCCAGAAAAGTCAATTAGTGAGATCATAACAAAGTACAAGAGTGTCACGCTGACTGGATACTGAGTAATCGCGCTGGTTCAGAGACTATTGTTATGATATCTTAGCGGCTCAGAGGCGCCAATCACCGACTCGTGCTTTTTCCACGTTATATTTCGGTACACGATGACTGGCTAAGACTTGGACTGACCCATACTGCGATTGAGAACAGATGGCACAAACCAACCCAGCAGTCCAGAGCGTTCCTTGGAAGTATTCCTTCAGATACACGCTCGCAGCTGGACAAGAGTGAGTGTGTGAACAACACGCGCAGAATCACTGGCAGTCCAGGAAAACCACAAGGGATCACCAGCAATGACTTCAAACAAGCCGTCCATAACACAGAAGCGGGTTCAAAAAACCCGAAAAATACGATCCGAGGCGTCGTCGTGAGAAAAAGCGTCAACGAAGAAAGGGAATGGCGCGTCATTCACTTACCAATCAATCCCCTCCACCTGTCTCTGCCACATCTAAAGATCACGATCCAAAAGAGACCCTCCGACTCCAAAAACCGATTAAAATTTTCACATATGGATAAAGAAAGCGCACCTGATCTCGAATAGACTCCCGCGTTTCGCGAGTTTCCCCGTAAAACCACAACTCTGGCGAGTCGGGGATAAAGATACGATCTCTCCGAGAGCTCAGAGAATTAGTCGTCGCTTGAATCCCCTCATACTCCAGGATAAAATCATGGCAGAATCAAAGGTCTGGCTAGGTAAGTTCTCGATATTTGCCGTTAGAGAGATGAGAATTTACGAATGAATACAAGTTACTGGATCATCCTCGGGTTTTGGCCGGTCCATGACAGAACTCCTGTTGAAGAACGGAAACAGAGTGGTTGCAACTCTACGCCGCAGAGAAGCCCTGTCAGATCTCGCCAAACACTATCCTGCTTCACAGCTGTTGATTGTCCAGACGGATGTCGTAAAAAGGTTGGAGGTGGCTGCCGCATTTGCGAAAGCCAAAGAGGTGTTCGGACGTGTCGATGTAGTCTTCAATAACGCGGGCACGGCTGTCATCGGAGAAATGGAATCCTTGAGCGACGAAGACGCTCGCCAGATCTTGGAAGTTAACTTTTGGGGCGCATCAAATGTGACAAGGGAGGCAATTCGGATGTTTAGAGAAGTGAACAAACCTGCCGGGGGAAGACTGTTGCAGGTTTCTTCTGCGCTGGGTCTGCGTGGAAGAGCTGCAGCTTCCTATTATGCCGCATCGTGAGTAAGCATGCCCATACGTGATTTCAATCCTCACCTGAAGCAACAGTAAACATGGTGAGCGTGTTTGACTAACGCCATAGCAGTCACTCAAACCAGCTGTCCAGCATTGGAAGGATTTAGCGAAAGCATCGCACAAGAACTGGACTCGGCATGGAATATACAGGTTTACTCAGTCTAGTCTCAGGGTGGCACTGTTGCTCATGCTTGATAGGTTACTATAATCGAGCCGGGCCCATTCCGGACGATGATGTTCAAGGACAACATGCAACTTGTTCCTCAGCATCCAGCATATGCAAACCCAGAGTTACCTGGTTCCAAATTCCGCCAATTTATGACTTCAACTCTGGCAGACGGAGACACCGAAAAGGCGGTGGTAGTCATTGAGAAGCTTACTCACCTAGATGAAGCACCGCTGAGATTTCCGTTGCATAAACTTGCAGTAAGAGCGGGGAGAGAGAAAGGAAAGAGTCTCATTGAAACCATGGACAGATACGAATCGTGGACGGAAAACGTCTATTTCACGTAGTACAGTGGACTCGTAGCACTTGCTTGGTTCTTGGACTCAATCGTGAATGCAGGAAAGCGTGATGCGATATGCTCCCGTATGAGGGATCTCTGGGAAGTGCACTTCAACGTTCCACGACGATGGTGTCGAGTCGTACTTGCTGATACGAGCTGTCCTCAGCGCAAGGCAGCAGCACGGAAGGTCAGCACTTGTCCGTTGCATACGAGAAATTGTTCTAAAGTCGTCTCCAAAATGTCCTCAAGCCCATCTCGACCGACCACACTCAAATGAGGTGCGAATTTTGAGTGGGCACGACGGATCACCGGGGAAACAGCAGGGGGCGTCCACAGATGGTGAGGGTCTCGTTCCAAAAAATGCTACAGCCGGCCTCTGCAGCGTTAATGGCAGCGTTCCACTGAGTATAGGGAGTAAGACCCGTCGTGCCATAAAGGCCAGTGGGCATACGCAGATGGAACGGACGGGTTCATGCTAGCGATGATATCCGAACATGCAGAAATGTGAGAACCGGGAGATCGAACGGTGGTGTAGGGTACATGCCTTCCACTTCCTGGTGCTAAACATGATGTCCAATTCATGTAAGGCCAGTGTAAGGCTGCTCGATTGAAAGGTAAGCGTGGGTGCAGGGGAAGAGTAAGAGTCATAGACTCATACCTGGGCCGCATGATCTGGATAACGTATTAAACGCTCAAGGCCTTTGAATAAGGCGGAAATAGATGACACGCTGGTGAACAACCGAAAGTTTGATATCATTCAACTGCATTGCTGAGCGCTGAGCCTTATCAGGTCATGATTCTTAAGCTTGATTGAATTCTCATTACATAAGTAGTGCGTGCAGAAGTTCAGAAGGTACCTCATGTAGTTCTGAGCTCGTCGGACCTTATCGGACCAGAATGTACTAATATCCTCACCCGCTTTCGATGTTGTGCTGGGAGGATAAACAAGGGGAGAGAATACCAAGGCGTTTTCGGATTCGCATAGAGCAGAACGCAGAGCAAGCAGTGTCAGGGGTCTACTGCCTACTGGAAACCAAGTGTTTGGGTCTCAATCGATCGGTGCGGTCGCACAGCATGACTGTTATTCAACTCATCACCCTCTTTTCCTGGTGCAAACCTGATACACGTAAACTCGCCGCACTGTGAATGCAATCAGTGACCATAACAAACCGCAGTGTCATGCTGACTGAGAACTGAGCAATAAATATGCGTGATCCAGCGACTACAGGAATGATATAAAGCCAACAGTCTGATACTCTGAGAGAACCAGTCATCGTTTGCATCCCCTCATACTTATTCCTGAATAAAATCATGGCAGAATCAAAGGTCTGGCTAGGTAAGCCTGTGATATTTGCTGATAGAGGGATGAGAACTCACGAGGCAATACAAGTGACTGGATCATCCTCAGGATTTGGCCGTTCCATGACAGAACTCCTGTTGAAACACGGGAACAGAGTGGTTGCAACTCTACGCCGTAAAGAAGCCCTGTCGGATCTCGCCAAACAGTATCCTTCTTCCCAATTGCTGGTCGTCCAAATGGATGTCGTAAACAGCTCTGAGGTGGCTACCGCATTCACAAAAGCCCAAGAGGTGTTCGGACGTGTCGATGTTGTTTTCAACAATGCGGGTATGGCGATCATTGGAGAGATGGAGTCTGTGAGCGACGAAGAGGCCCGCAAGATATTCGAAGTCAACTTCTGGGACGCATCGAATGTGACAAGGGAAGCGGTTCGGATGTTTAGGGAAGTCAACAAACCCATCGGGGGAAGACTATTACAGGTTTCTTCTATGTTGGGTTTGATTGGGAAACCAGCAATGTCTTATTATGCCGCATCGTGAGCGAGCATGCTCATGCGTGATCTCAATGCTCACCCAATGACTCAACAGCAAACATGGTGAACTTACCTGTCTAACGCCATAACAGTAACTCAACTAGCTCTCCAGCATTGGAAGGATTCAGCGAAAGCGTCGCACAAGAACTAGACCCGGCGTGGAACATCAAGGTATAGTCAATCTAGTCTCGATGTGAAACTCGAGCTAAAGCCCCGGGCAGGTTACCATAATTGAGCCAGGTCCATTCCGGACCAGGGTGTTCACGGACAACATGGACATTCGTCCTCAACATCCTGCATATACCAACCCCGAGTTAGGCGGTTCGAAATCTCGCCAGTGGGCGACTTCAACTCTAGTGGATGGAGACACCGAGAAAGCGGTGGTGGTCATTGAGAAGCTCACGCACCTGAATGAACCACCGCTGAGACTTCTGCTACACAGGGATAGTGTCGAAGCAGGGAGGGAGAAGGCAAAGAATCTCACCGACAACATAGACAGATACGAATCATGGTCGGAGAATGTCTACTTTGCGTAGTTCCGCTGACTCGTTGTGCTTACTACTGGACCTTCCTCAGCTCTTGTCCTCTGAGCTCGTATGTTTGCTATGAAATATAGTTAACATGGATTGCACACAATGAATCGATGTCAATGATATCCTCGTTGTTCCAGGTGAAACTACACCTGACCAGGAAGGGGCCGAATGGAGTATGTGATGACTATGACCACCAAAGTGTAGAATTTGGCCGGTCTGCATGCAGTTACGCAGCAGAAAGTGATTGGGACGTCGGAGGACGTCTACTTCACGTAGCATGTACTACTAGTCCTATGGCAGCCTGTTAGATGTCAGCAACAGCTTGAAGGTACTGAACGTGACACATATGTGGCGTGACATGTGACAGACAGAAGAACTCATCGGACTCACCACCACTACTTACACTGGGCAAGGCGGCAATGGCTCCAACGAAAACTAGCAAGGTCTCCTCAGCTTCGAAATCTTCTATCCAGAAACACCCTGCGTCTGGTATCGGAGCGCCATCCCAACTCGCCCAATCGAGCCGTAAGGGCAAGAAGGCATGGCGAAAAAACATTGACATACACCCTGTGGAACAGGGTTTAGAGAGTCTGCGTTCAGAGGAACGAGTCATCGGGTGCGCAAAATACGTTCCTTACTTATGTCTACCATTCTAATCGTGTGCATCGACTTTGACAGCTCAACGCTACAGAAACAGACAAACGACCAATTATTTGTTGTGGACACCAAAGGAGATGATAAAGGTAAGTTTTTGAAGGATTTTTCTAAGTAAAGATTATGAAACTATATAGTCCGCAAGTCGTTGCCGCGATACTCTAAGGCCGAGTTGACTGCTACGAAAATACTTTCCCAACGATCTGCCATTCCTGCTGTGTTTTCTCGCCCAACAAAAGACTCTGTACCATCACGATCAAAAGTCAGCAGAGCTGACAAGGAGCGCCTTCTTCGCATCGCAAAACGTCCCAGAAAGGGTCCATTTAATGCGGTCATGGATCACACAGAGTTTGGTGCAGGAAGTGCTTTAATCGATGTCAGCGCTGCTGTGAAACACAGTGGCTCTTACGACCCATGGACTGCCGAGAAGATAGAAGAAGTGGCTGATGGATTAGAGCATACGAAGAAGCCTAATATTAAGGCAAGTACTCCCTTCGTTACCGTCAGGAATTTGCTGACGACATTCACAGCGCCCGGAGTTATCTCATCCCCGCGACGTCATAGATGTTCCTGCTGTGTTGGAGCCACATCAAGGGTCGTCATACAATCCCCCTGCCGCTGCACACGATGAGCTTATTATGGAGGCATGCAAGGTAGAGCGGCGTAGACAAGAAGAAGCGGATCGATTAGCCGAAATTCGACGCAAGGTTGCTGATGCACGTGCACTTGTTGCAGATGAAACAGAGGGCCTTCCACTTGGAATGACGTTGGACGAGATACCCGCAGACGACGGTGAACCAGTCACGCAGGAGGATGCAGTTGTACCCAAGAAGGCATCGGTACGTAAAACTAAGCAGCAACGAGCAAAGGCGCTGCGATTGCGCGAGGAAGTAAGCCTTTTGTCTCTTTCTTACTACCGTCGCTGATCTTCCACTAGAAGCAAGCTTTGGCAGAAAAAGCGGCAAGAAAAAAGATGCTTGCCACGATACCATTGGCCAAATCTCTCCGCTCAACTGCGGAGAAAATTGGCCAGCGACAAAATGAAGCGCGATTGGCAAGACAGTTGGCGCTGAAGATGAAGCTTCGGAAAGGCTTAGCTGGCCAACGGCTAGGGAAATATAAAGTTCCTGAAAATGACATCGAGGTTCAGATTGGGGAGGATCTAAGCGAAAATTTGCGAACGCTGAAGGTGTGTTGACCGCACCAGTTTCATCGACATCCCTGATAGTCTCCTATCAGCCTGAAGGCAACTTATTCCGTGATCGCTTCCGGAGCATGCAACAACGAGCTCTCATTGAGCCTCGCGTACCCGTCCTGTGAGTATTCGCGTAGATCTTGAGCGCAGTTTTTTGACGTCCTTTACCCTGCAGCCCGACCAAGCGAGCGAAGCTAAAAGAGTTCGAGAAGCACGCCTGGAAAAGATTCGAGTAGGTAGTATTGCTCTACCTTTTTTATGTAACCGACCTTCGACTGTTGATGGGAAGTACTGTCCAGTGTGTGATGCATCTCATTGCGCACCACCACAGGACTTGCCCCTCAACTCATATGTTCCACCTCTGCGGAGGCGGCCCGTTGGCCAGATGTGCATGTCTCTACGTGACAAGGTGCTTAAGGCCGCTCAAATAAAGCTACAGCCTTTGTGCTTAGTGTCGTAACGAGTGAAGACTTGAGAAAGGTTCGATGGTCTCGCAGCATCTACTCTCACCTAGTAGTCATGTTACGAAATGGTGCAAAAATCAACCTTTACATCCGCCCACTCGCAGAGGTAACAGCTTAATTCGCGATTCAAAGACTAAAAACACTGGACACTGTGGGAGTTGAACCCACGACCTTACGCATTCACGGTTGCGAAGCGTACGCGCTACCAACTGTGCCAAGGGCCCTCGACTGATGAAAGTCCTACGGAACATTATATTAGTTGAAACATTGTAGCATACCAGGACTTGCAATTGACACTTGACCACCTCCGTCTCCTACCCAACTGTCTTAGGGATGGAAATTGATTATATTGAAAACGAAAACTCCCTATTACAACCTCCTGCAGTTCAGAGGAGACGGATTCGACCAGTGGACGATGCTCATCCTTTTGATCTAGACGCATACATCTTGGGATATTCTGGTATGATATTAACACCCCTCTTGGTTTGGTGCTTAGATTAAGGCTTCCTACTCTTTCAGGTCGCACTGCATTCGACAGGCTTGTGCACATTATCTCAACATGTCCAACTTTGGCGCCACAGGCGTTGAAGCTGGCGTTCGCGCAGATCGAGGTGCTTCGCGATCCAACCCTTTATCAGACCGCGATGAATGCATATGATGCTGTGGCGGACCTGCTGGAGGTGCAGGTACCTTCCACTAGTGACCTGTGCTCAGTGAACACGGTGTGGTGTGAAGAGGTTGCGAAGAAGAATCAAGCGGAGAAAACCAAGCTAGAGGTTGAGCTGAAGACATATTCTAACAACATGATCAAAGAGAGCATAAGGGTACGGCCAGCATCTTGAATCTTGTAGAGGCACTATAATACCTCTCCCCATCAGATGGGCCACAGGGACCTCGGTGACTTCTACCGCGCCACTGGAGACTATACCCAAGCACTCAAACATTATACGAAATCAAGGGAGTTCTGCTCAACTAGCCAGCATGTCCTTGATATGTGTCTTTCTGTACTAGAGGTAGCTTCTAGTTTATTGATATTACCATCCGGTCATTCATGTCTCCCACAGCTTGTGATCGAGCAACGCAATTACGCACATATATCTTCCTACGTCTTTAAAGCGGAAGGTGCACTTGATACGGCAAACGCAACAGCAGTAGCCAACGTCGCTGCCGGTTCCAACAATAGCTCAGTTGCCGCTCCACCTAAAAAATCAGCGGAGCGCGACCAGGTACAATCTAAGCTGGACTTTGCAATGGCTTTGTTCCACCTAGGACAAGTCAACTACGAGAAAGCTGCCCATTTCTTCCTGAAGATCGGCTCTCCAGATTCTCTTGGCGATTGGATTGGCAAGGCAAGCGAGGTTCTCTTTACAGCCAACTTTTGGCTTATGTTCCTTCTAGATTGTCGCTCCTGGTGACTTTGCAGTATATGGGACTCTATGCGCTCTTGCTAGCATGTCGCGATCTGCAATTAAGTCTCAACTTACGGGCAACCCTATTTTCTCTGCGTACATTGAACAAGAGCCTTATGTTCGAGATTTGATCCAATCATATCTCTCAAGTGATTTTAAAAGCGTCCTGGAGCTTCTTGAGCGATACTCGGTATGTTCTTTCCACGTATGTTTTATTGTCTGAAACATTATTTATCTTTCGTCCGTAAGACACGCCACTATTTGGACATTCACCTCTACTCGCATGTGTATGACCTGACAAACCTCATTCGCAACGTCGCGGTGGTCCTTTACTTCCAGCCATTCCAGACCATTCGCCTCGACCGAATGAGCGCCGCATTCGGCTGGACAGTCGAGGAGGTTGAGAAGGAGGTAGTCGCGCTCATTCAAAGCGGCCAGATTCAAGGGCGAGTTGACAGCCAGAACAAGGCCAGTGAAAATTCCAGACGTAGTTATGGGGAGATTACTGACATCATTCACGCCACAGATCCTGAAAGCGAGGAAGGTGGATCATAGGGCCGAGCTATTCGCGCATGCCATGAAGACTGCTACTGAGATACAAAGCACAAACCGCAAGTTGCTGTTGCGGATGCGTTTGTGAGTGTCAGTGGGAGTTGTGCAGCTCACCCTCTGATTTGTGTTCGTAGGCAACAAGCAGACCTAGTGGTGAAACCACCAAAGTCGCGTCGTGAGCAAGATCGCACCTCGGAGCTTTTGCAAGGCGATTGAGCATTCGATGACGAGGCTACCATACTGTATCACATTACACAGTTTGCATTGTATCACCTCTGGTTCTAGTAGCTACTGTGTAAGAGACATTAGCGCCCGCATTTCCTGCTCCACAGGCAATGTCGTGTATGACTTTGTGAGCTTTGGCGACATATGAGTAGAATAGGAAACAATTTATTATGTACGAGAAACCTTAACTTGTCTCGCGACACTTCACCACATCATCCTAAAAATCAGGAAAAATTAGGGCCATGTGGAGAAGATACGAAAATATGTTGGCGCAAATTTCTGGGAGATGTACACCACGTGGCGATATTGAAGATGTGCAGGCAGGTTTGCCCTTGTTTGTCGCCTGAATTCTCGAATGATCCTCCACCTCGGAGCTTTTTAATTTGCGGGCTCAGCTTCGCCTCCGAGTCAACTGCGAACCTACAGCTGTTTGTCCTCAATGCCTCACAGCTAAAGGTGATACATAGTCATTCGACTGTTGAAGTCCGGATCGAAGTCCGAGCAGGAGATGTCAGAGTGAGACATTGCGAGCGCTAGCCGACTGCGCAACCTACAACGAAGTGACGTCGGTCCCAGAATCTAATAAGTAACTGTCTATTTCCTATGTTACACTTTATTACTTATCACTATGCCAACTACCTTAAAACTACGAGTTGTCAGACCAAACATCTCAGTCCATTTCCTGAGACTGAGATGTAAGTCGAAGTCCCCGCTTCACGTTACAACTAGAGCTAACATACCCTTAGATATATTTAAAGTGAATGGTAATGAGCAGGACGGGACGATCTGATAAGAAACAAAGTATATCTCAGTCTCTGAAGGAGCTCATTGTATGAGTCTAGTACCTGATACATCAGTAAATTCACACATTCCTTAGCACAGCTTATTTTGAAAATTAAAACTTATTTTTGACTTATCTATATTTATTCACTTGGCTTTTAGTTTGATAAGTTGAATAAGGAAGCACGTGGTATTCAAGTGGCGAAAAGCAGCACAAGGCAAGATCAGATACCAAAGCCAAAACAAGCACTGCAAGCAACATATCATTACCGATCTACCCCTAGTACTAACAATTCAAACTCTAAACTTGTCTAAACCAACATCTCGAACGCAGTCTGGTATGTCCTTCGGCTCATTGTTTGTTTGTTGATAGACGCTGGAATGACAGACAATCTATGGTGGCCTCCAAACCAAGATTGATGGACTCGGACGTGCATTGCAGGCGGGAGCAAAAGTGCCGGTGGACAGAGGCAGTGGCTCATGCACTGGCAATGGTGACTGGGATGTTTGAGGATGGTGGTGAGGGGGCAGTGGTAGTTGGGATGGTGGTAGGAGATCCTGAGGAGGTCCTGGAGCAGGTATATTTGAGTGGAGTGAATGCCTGTGTTGGGTGAGACCTGATTGGTTTTGAAACCAGTGTGTGCAGCCTGGAGCTGGGCATGGAAGCTGAAGTAGGTGGTGAGCACGGTGGGGAGGCATATATGTGCTATAAGCAAAGTTGGTGTTGACAGTCAAAGAGGATTTCTGAAGGCGAACAACAAATTTGGACCGGCACCAATGTGACCAAACCAGGCTTAATGCACAAATGAAGGCTAGATTCAGGGGTTCTTGAAAGAAACGCCCAAATCACACAGGCTCATTGACGTTTGAGCAACATCGGAAACTTGAAGGTGTCCAATACAGTGAACTCTGGGTTCACAGCACCCAAAAAATGCCGAAAGTGTTACCGAACTGCCTCCTTGCCAGACAGGTTTTGGTAAACGTTGATGTTCAAACTGCTTCCTGAGAAGGGCTTGGTGAACATTGACACCTTGCAGAAAAACTATGGGTAAAAATTGATATTCAGACTACTGGGGCTGGCGAAAAAATACTGGTAAACCAACATTTGGGAGCGGGAGGTGTGAAAGGATTGCGGTAATCTAGTACTAGGTACGTCAGCTTGGTAAGGGTCAATGTAGATATTTATTCAGAGTCAGCTTAGACTACAATTTTTGAAGAATGGTGATGAAACATACCTTGTTGTGAGCTACCATTGCCCTCAAATTTCTTTAGCCTCCCAAACCCTCCATTGATACCATGCCTGCCAGCGCAGCTCCAAAACGCATGATGACTCAAGCTAAGAATGCAACTCAGCATCCAGGACATATTCTGACTGGGGGCACAAACCACGTAAAAAGACGTACCAAAGCTGAAAAGGCTGCTGACAAGCAACGTGAAGAAGAGGAGAAGGAGGCAAGTAAAGCAGCTATACAGGAAACTCATAAGTGCATTGCAGCATTTCAAAAAAAGATGCAGACAGACCAAGCTGCTGCATGTGCTGATGCACCTAAGCCTAGTTGTCCTTGTCCTTGTCCTGTGAAAAAGGCTGCAAAAGCCCCAGAGACCACTGACTTGACTACAGCTGCCGATACGGCTGTTGGTGCCAGCATGTATTTCCCCCCCCTCTCTTCACAGCACGGCTAATTATTTCCTGTGTTTCAGGTGGAACATGCCATCCGCCTTATTGCTTCCGAGACCCTTGTCAGAAAATTAGAGGTGAACAGTAAAGGCAAGGCCGTCAAGGTCCCTCACACTCTTAATAAGTCCTCAGGCAAGATCAGTGGCTCTTGAAAGGCCTTCTCAGACACCAATTTCGGTGTAATGACCAGGTGTTACATGACATCTATTAACCGCCTGCAAGAATTGGTCCTCCAGGATGTCTGGGGACAGGCAAAGGAGATCGCCTTGAAGAGGCGCAGTGCACCCTCCACTGTAGATGAAAACTCTGAGGATGAATGCGTGCTCATCTTCTAGTAGTACTACTAGTCGGTACTGTCTTTCTCATTGCCCGCATGCATCTCACTAACTAGTGTCTTCAAGTTTACTAAGTACTACTAGCCTATGGACTGCTACTACTCTTTTCCGCCACTTCATACTGTTACTACTCTTTGCTGCTTCATTAATTTGCTGCTGCTATTGCTTCTGAAACTCCTTTTTAATGTCTTTTTTTCTGAGTCCATACTTAATCTACTTGTTGCTTGAAAATGCAATGTTTTGCGGTCATGTTTCTCTCAAAAAGTGTGATTAAGTCGCAAACAAGTAGAAAATAAGTGAAATAAGTGTTATTACTTGCTGCTACTTTTGCTAGCACTTGCACTACTTACAAAGGCAAAATCATCGAAAAAAGGCCAAAATAAGGGTGGAAAAAGTCACAGTCAAGAGGAGGCATCTGCTTTTTCAACTTAAAATTGCTTGTGGCAAGTTGGTGTCGCCGTTCTTGTGCGTGACTTGTCCGCTCCTTTTTGGGAAGTTAACTGGCGGCAAGTTACCAAAAAGGAAGTTCAAGAAATATGTGAATTTACTGATGTAAGAAACAAAGTATCTATGGCTTGTTAGCAATGTAAAGTAACAGGAAAAATAACTGGGGCTTACATCTCAGTCTCTGAAGGAGCTGAGATTTTCATACAAAAGTAATTGACTTCTTATAGTAGGTTAGCATAGAGATGAAAAATATATGTATCGTAGCAAACGACACATTGCAATGTGGACGAGCTGCAGCTGACGTCAAAGTGTTGCTCGCTTGGACCACTTTTGGTTTCACTCGTATCTTATGCTTCAGTTGTCTTCACTGTCTCAGACTCTTCGGACTTCAACAATATTTTCTTATCAGGTACTACTATAGTCGTACTACCAAGTCCATTTCCCGAGACTGAGATATATATTTTCTTATCAGCTCCCATTTCTTGCTAGAAATCTGCACGGGTAAACCCCTGGGTACTGGAGCCCATACCCACACCTGTACCCGTACCTGCACCTGTGTGGGGTTTACCTGCGGGTAATACATACAAATGAAGATGGGACAACCGAAAATGAGTGGTGGTAGGTGCACAATGAAAATACTAGTAAGTAATGTACATACAAACATAGATTAAAAAAATATACCTATATTGCTGGGAATGAGTGGTGACATGCACAGACATGCACAAAGTTGCAAGCAAGTGTGAGAGTGCAAGACGGTGCAGGTAAGGTGTGAGAGGGTGCAGTGTTGAACCTGTCAGCAAGCTTCTCGATCCACTTAATCTCCTCAGCTGACATGCAATGGCGCTATGTCAGGAACAGCACAAATGAGTGGCGGCATGCGAAAATAAGTACAGACAAGCACAGCCTGAGACATGTCAAGATGAACATAGATGTGTGCAAGCACACAGATGTGTGGTTGAATGTTGAATGAGCGTGAATGGTAGCATTGAAGACATGTGAAAACATTTGTAAGTAATGAACATACATATAAGATCATTGAATACACACCTATATACAGTGGCAGACAAGTGCTGGGAAACAAAAATGTGTATAAATGTGTATAAATGAGTGCTGGCAGGTGAAAACGAACATGCACAGCCAGGCATCACAGAGACAAGTGTGAAACAAGCAAAGACAAGTGAGAACAGCACAAATGAGCAGGAACAAGTGGAGACATGCAGGGACATGCAGTGACAAGTGAGAATGAGGTGCAAACAAGTAGGGACAAGTGGAGACATGCGAGGATAGTATATGTACCTCATTTTAGTGAGTGTTTGCAATTCTAGAATTGTTGTTTGATGCACAAACTAAAATACCAAAGTAATTACCATTTTGGAAGGTACAGGTACACCAAGGGTACAGGTTAGAGCGTGGTGTGGGGAACATCCCCACTGTAGGCCCGTATCCCATATATTTCCCAAACCTTACCAGTATCTTTCCGTGTGTTCTGCTACCCATCCACTTCTTATCTGACTTGCCCACTACACGGAACTAAGAGCCCGTTCAGCAACCGACATTTGAACAAAATTTTACCAACTCGAAAGTTGTCGGTGGCACGAGTGTGACTGAGATGTAAGCTGAGTTTGAAAGCCCTCGGTAAGATTGACCGTTATCGATAACATACTAGCCATGGATCCAGTATTCAGGCAGCCGTTGACTAACCCTCTTATTCAACAGAGACCTCTCATAGCCCAGCTGACTCGACCACTAGCAGTACAGACTCACCCCAACCGGACTCGTTTACCTCAAGCTGCAGTTCGCCAGCATATGCTTCGTTACATTGCCCTCCTCCTCAATATTCTACTTGCCGCCACAGCGCATATCCTCCTACAGCAAGTCCAGGATGATCCTGAACCCTACCACACATCTGCCCTCACAGGGCAAGAGTGGGTGATGGAGTTGATTGTCGGCCACCCAGAGTGCATCCGCTGCAAGCTTGGTGTCACTGCTCACGTCTTTGAGAGCTTGGTGTGTGACCTTCGAAACTTCGGTCACACGGATTCACGCTTTGTATCACTCGAGGAGCAGTTGGCGATTTTTCTGTACACTTGTGTCACAGGTTTGACGGTTAGACATGTTGCAGAACGATTCCAGCGTTCAAACACTACTATTTCCAAGTTTGTGATTCGATCTATGTTTCACGCCTGACACTAACTCCCTTGTAGGTATTTCTGCAAGATCTTAGAGATTTTCGCCTCCCACCCATTCTATACGACGCATGTACACCTTCCTGCCGACAATGCCCCTGTCTCCAGTGCTATTCGCGACAACCCAAAATGATGGCCATACTTCCGGGACGCTATTGGAGCGATTGACGGCAGTCACATCCATGCGTTCCCTCCCTCTGCCACCTGCCACCTCTACTACAATCAAAAAGGTTTCATCTCTCAAAATTGCCTCTTCATTTGCGATTTCGACCTCAATTTCACCTTTGCACTCACTGGATGAGAGGGATCTGCAACCAATGCACGGCTCTGGGATGTAGCTTGCAATGACGGGCTGAATCTTCCGGCGGGAAAATATCTTCTCGCAGACCTGGGGTTCCCCTCATGCCAACAACTTTTGGTCCCTTACCGCGGCATTTGGTACCATCTGGCTGAATGGGGTCGTGCCAGTGTCAGGTATGTCATAGGCTCTTTTTTTGTTATCCGGCTCATCCAACACTGCTTCCAGACCCACCAACAAGGAAGAATTGTTTAATCTTCGCCACGCATCCGCTCGCAACATTATCAAACATATTTTCGGTGTTCTGAAGTGGCGCTTTCGCATTCTTTTAGTATCCCCGGAGTATAAGATAGGGATTCAGGCACGCATACCCACTGCGCTATGCGCTCTTCATAATTACATACGCGCTCATGACCCATATGAAGAGCCTCCACCTCAGAGAGCCATCTTCAACGACAACCCCACCCATCAAGGACGACCTGGCGAAGCATGTGACGACCCACCCAAACCCACAACCATCCGCGACGAAGCCAACATATTTCATGATCGCATGGCGACTGAGATGTGGGAAGATTACCAGACAATTTTGCAGGAGCGTGATCTGATTGACGTAGCTCACTCGTTGGATATCGATGAAGACTCAGAGAACGAGGACAACATAGACGAGTACTATGGGAGTGAGGATGATGGTAATGATGCATAAATTCACGATGTATAGTGTACATAGGACTACAACATGAAGATGCGCTGCATATCAATGAATGGAGGCTATGTAACGTGATTTGTAAGACGCAATATGAAAGAGGATGAAGCAAAAAGACGGCGATATGATTTTGATGAGCGAGAAGACGATTAGAATGCACCATACTCCCCCCTGTGAGCCTGCCAGATAACAGATTCTAAAAAGGGTAGACGATTCTCGGGCCTGTTGAGCAAGTAGGTGGAGCATACAACTGGGCTCCTCATGAACACGTTCATGAGGGTGATCTTGTCATCTCCCGACACACCATCTTCATCTTGCATCATGGACATGGCACTCGATCTTTCATCTGCTACCCGAGTTTCATCAGTACTGACCATTGATGCTGTGAGACTATCCGTCAGGCGGTTGATGCAGCCTTGAAGGTTCATAAACACAGCAGTGCTGGCAGCATCCTTGGCAGCCTTTTTGCTGGAGCCGCTAGTGATGCGTGACATGCCAGTGTTGTTGCTGCTGCTGCTGCCGCCACCACGTGCTGATAATCTAGGTTTTTTATCAGTGCTGCTGGTGGGAGACTCCAGAACAGAGGTTCTGGGGGTGGTGGTGGAAAGGATCATATCGGAGTGTGAGTGTTTTCCTGTGCTAGAAGCTGCCACTGAAGACAGGGGAGGGGGGAACATAGAACCTCTGGCCACAGGCCCAGGGGTTGGAAGAGTAGACATGATATGGCCCCATCCAAAGCCATCCAAGGCCTCTGTGTTAGTGGCATCAACTTCAGGTATGTTGCTAACACCACCGGCGGCGGCAGCATCAGCTATGCTCATATTAAGACCCAGAGCATCACCGCTTGCTTCTGGGTCAGCACTAGTAGCGGCAGCGGCCGCTGATGCTTGTGCAGCGAGTGAAGCTGGGTTATAGGCAGCCGCCCCAACAGTGCTACTGCCATGTGGCAGAATCTGCAACATCTTGGACCAAAATGGCCATCCGCTGTTTTTAAAAGGTTTCATAACCTCAAGACAAAATGTAAGCAGCAGACTGGAGGCCAAATGTATTTACATACCTTGTTGCCACTGCTGGCATTGAGAAATTGCTCCCACGTGAGCTCTGCCGATGGCCCCTGAATATTGGCCCCATTAATATTGTCCCAATGACATCCTGATTGACTATTCCGATATCTGTCTATCGCGCTGTGGATCTGTTTCAACTATAGGGGCAGTTGATGTTAGCAATGATCTGAGTGGGATGGATGTAACTCACAGTTGACCATTTCATCTTACACTGTGTCATGGTCTTGGGTTAGGCCTGAATCCCTGCTTCTTCAACCTTCTCTGCTATCTTCTTTGCAGCATCGGTAAATGTCTCCTCTTTGAACGTTGTCCCTGCCATCTTGGATACCTGCGTGATTAGATAATCCAAGAGAGCCTCAACCTCCAGGGTGGTCCACTGCGCTTTTGGTACAGATGATTTGTTTTCATTCTTTCTGGTCATAGACAGGAGTTGAAACTGGGTACAGACAATGAGAACAGCTACAGTTGCAAAGATGCGCTTTCGCTGCAGAGGATCGTATCGATGGCTAATAGTAGTAGGAATCGTCATCATAGTTGGAGGGCAAGTGAATTCAAACTCCGACATGTCGGCTTTCGTGCCGCTCATGCACAATTTGTTTGGTTGGCTAAATTTTGTTCAAATGTCGGTTGCTGAATGGGCTCTAAGTGGAACAATGCGGAACCAAGCAGAACAACCGTGCATCATGCACATCATATCCCTTTAGCCTTCAGAATGTCCTCCTCTGTCCTGTCCCTGTCCTTCCATCCTCACTGGTGAGTACTCGCTACGTTCCTTGTGTTGCTGACATGTTGCTATCTCATTTCACATGTGTTACAATACTTATATGGATCTTGCCGCTACTTGGAACCAGTTCCTTATCTCACAGCCTCGCCCAGTTGTAGCATAGCGCTTTTCGGAACCCCTTCCTATATAGATAGCAATAGATGGGATCTTAGTTTTTTACCTTTTGATAGATTTGACTTGACTCCCACTTACAGAGTACTTCCCAGTACTCCACTCACTGTTTAAAATATCTTCCTGAATCTATTCTTGACCTCATCATGACGCCCGCACATCTGTGAGTTCTGCTTGAAACACCCTACTCCCCAAATCCAACGACTTGGAACAAGTACCAGACACAAGCCAGGTCTGACTTTGCCCAATCTTCCTCATATAGGCTTGTAGTTTCTTTTTCCCTCCATTGTATCCGTGATCTCTGTCCGCATGTCAGTTCTGTTTGTTGCGTGTTAGTTCTGTTTGTTGCGCATTTGTTCCACTTGTTGCGCATTTGTTCTGCTTGTTGTGCGCTTGTTCCATCCATTGCGCGCTTTGTTCCGCATCAGTGTGTTTCCAGTCCTAGTAAGGACCAGAACCCTTTGGGTCGCTAGACAGAGTCTAGTCTTTGCTTTCCTTGCACTTACTTGAGGACTCGCTACCCAGTAGCAATCCCCTTGGGACGAGTATTTGCCTCACACCCTTGTTAGACATCTGAATCACCCCAGAGTCTATTTTCCTCACCCACAGTGGGTCTCAAAATCTTAACCCGTACCCGTACCCGAGTAGTACCTGTACCCGTGACCCACACGGGTTACCCATACCCATGCAGATCCTTATTTCTTGCTCACTCTAAGCCTCTCATCACGAGATCGACTGCTAAGTTGCATCCGAATTGCAGTGGTTGAATAACTGCAATCCAGCTGCAACTCCAGGTTCATGGGTGTAGAGCACAGGGCCTTCTGAAGAATGGAGTTCACAATTTCAAGTTTTCAATGGCTATTGAATACATGGTCGGACACGATTATCATGAAAGTCAATGCAGGTGTGTGATTATGACCAATTAGAAAGGTTAGTGGCTGAAAATGCTAAATCCTTGGCCCAGGATACTTAGCAACACTGCAGGATTAAAGTCCCCCTTTAAAAAGGGGTGAAATCAGGTTCTTTCACATTCATATCATGAATGAATTGTATCTGACAAAGTGAAGAGGCTCAGACTAGAAACAAGTGAGAGAAGACTAAAGCTATGACAAGTGCATACCTAGAAATGAGTAAGAGAAAACTATGTATTGTTAGCACTAAGTATGCGGAGGAGTCATAGTAAGTAGCTCACCTCAGTCTTGGTTGGAAAGACTGAGGGAAGGGAATAGTATGGACACTGAATATAGTGTTCCAAAGTCCAGTTGCTGGACCACAAAAAGACCAGCAACTGGACTGGACCACAGTTTTTTTGAACCAGACCACAGTTGCAGTTATTTTGCAGTCTTTTCAGGTCTGGTTGCAAGTTGCTTGGTTTGGGCATAAGTGATGGAACACTGAAAAACTGGTTGCATTGTAAGGTATAACAAACATATTCAAGCTACTAGCTAGTATGATCCAGCAAACACCTCTAGTGATGTATTGGGCCTGACCTGTGAGTTGAACAGGCTCAGGCTTCCCAGTTTGGAAACACCGGCAGCATATTCCACCATGATGTACAGTTTATGCACCACCAGTGAGTGATTCTTTGTGTGACTGATCTACTGGCAGAATGTGATGGTACTGATGCTTCCCACAGTGATATCTGATGATGACACACCTGTTGCCATCACTGTGTGAACAAAGCACAATATCATTCCATCATCTCACCTTACCAACTCTAACAACAGTGCAACACCAGAATTCAGCAGCCATAAAAACATTCAACAGACTCTCCAACCTATAGCTATCACCAACTCGAGAAATGCTGGCAAGTGCAATTTGGTGGATGCAGACTGGACTCCTTCCTTGACGGAAGACTTAGTGGAGTTGTCCAGTGAAGGAGACAAAGCCATGGGCCACAAAGGTATGTTGCCGCCTCTGCATTTGTATACTTACTCTTTCAATTCTATAGGCCAACACCTTTGTCGGGCTCATGATCCGTCATTTATGGATTATGCCTGTTCTTCTGCATCTCTCATGGATGACACAGGTATGTATTTTTATTCACTGGTACTATAACTTAACCTCCCCACCAACCAACAGAAGAGACTCCAAGTACTCGCTGTGGGTACAACAAGCGCAGCAGTGATAAATAAATCTACTACACAGTTGGGTCTTTGCTGCCTGCTGCCTCACTTGAGAACAAGCACGTTCGACCCTAAAGGGGATTGCTACTGGGGAGTACTAGTCTCTGACTAAACGACCCTAATCAACCCTACCACAGGTAGGATGAGGATCCGCAAAAATGTGGAACAAGTGGAACTCAAGCAGAACTCAAGCAGAACTCAAGCGGAATGGAACAGAATGAAGCAGAACTCAACTGGATACAATGCGGAACGTACAGATTCGTCAGAACTTGCAGATCGAGTCGAAGGAAGTATATCACAAGGTTAGATTAATAGTGGGCATAAGTCAAAGTGGTCCTCTAGTAAGGTGAAGGAAAAGTGGAAGAAAAGTCGGAAGGTAAAAGATGGGATTCAATTTGATAAAAAAACACCCAAGCCCTGAGTACCACTACTTAAAGGGAAGATTATTTTCAAGGAACACTGAGGTACAGGTAGTAAACTTCTCAGGAAGCGGAAGTGAAGGCTGTTACGGTTGTCTGTGACACCTTTCATTTTCCTTTTCACCTTTCACATCTTCACCTCTTCACATTGACACCATGTCACAGTGTCATCATTTCCTGATATCACCCTATCTAGGGTTACTCTCCGACTTCACCTTATCACAGGTGCACACCCCTATTCATTGATCTGAGATCAATCTCGATCTATCCTCGGCAAGACCTTGGATATTACTTACACGCTAATACCTAGTGTATTCTCACAGACCCTTAACATGCATACACCATGTGTATTCCCATGGACACTTATCTATACTTATATGGACATATTACTTACTTACCCTTGACCCTGGACCCTGACTTACTATCATATATAAGCAGGTCATAGTCTCGATGATTCCTCATCTTGACCTACGCTGGAACTACCCAGATACATCCTCAGACTACTAGTTAGACACTAGTGAATCCACCTTGATTCCTTTGACTTTAGAGTGCCACCTCTAGTAGATTGATTGACTTGAAACCTCCTCTGATTACCATCAGTGTAACAAAGGCAGGCAGTGCACATGGGTGCAATACTCCGGAATAGAGGTCCGTGCCATAAGGGCATGTGTCAGTGTGATCCGGATAATGTTAGAAGCAACAGGAAGAGAGATACAGCGTACCAATGGACCTGGAAGGATGGGGACAGGACATGCGAAGGTTGTCTGACAATGCGCGGGAATATCGGATAGTGCAGGTGGGTTCCAAAGGATGCGCGGGAATGCGGAACCCATTGGACGATGCACAGGAAACATGAAATGTGCGGAATATGTGGAACTGATGTGAGACGATGCAGAAAGGATGGGGTTTTACACCTACAGTGGGGGTATATTGATGACACCTGTACTTTGACATGAGGAGAGGGGCAGTGATGTCAGTGCATTTTTTTTGGCAAACCCTATCCACACAAGGCCAAGGATGGGAAAACATGTTCAATCTGAGACTGTGAGTCATGCAAGTAAGTACATAATCTTTCTTCACTATCTCCACTGACAGAGTTGCAGAAAGAAAGGGTACCCATGTCAGATTGTTAGTGACACATCAACATGTTGATGCCATATTGCATTCCGGCATTCAGTAAGTTTGTTTTTTATTTTGATACTTGACACTTTAATGTTTACTACAGAATAATTATTGTTGATGGTGCAAGACTAATAACTTTGAGTTGATGTTGCCTCAAGATATCAAGGAATGTAAAATGGTGCTAGCTATTGCAAATGTGCAGCAAACAAGTCTTGACAGCCATCTGCAAGAAAATTCTTCCAGTAAGGTTGTTGTCCCATACATGGACATAGTCTTTCATGAAGCTGCTATTGAGTGGCTAATTTCCACTAGCCAGGTAGGTGTTGATTTATTGTATTCACAGTGATTTTTGATTGTTTTGCAGCCTGTCATATACCTGATCCGACCGCTCCGATATCAATATCCGCTCCACTTTCTGACCACCTCCACTCCTTCCATTCTCCACTCCGTCCAATCATTATCTGCATCTGCCCCTACACTTCCGCTCGACCGCCCGACTGGTCCCCTTCCGTAACGTCTCCATTCAACTGGAACCTCTTTCCCCTTTTAGATATATACTTTCCCCTTTGGTACATAGACCCTTACTTCCGGATCACCGGTAATTCCTATTACTGCTTGATCACTGATCTGATGTGTACATATTGATATCCGCTCTGACTTATGTCTTCGCCTGTGTAAAGTACTTACAAACTATATCCTTGGTACATAGCTTTACAACATAGTTATCCTGATCACTGCCTCATACATAGAAGTATATAACATATCCTGTACTTAGATATTTTCCCCAGTCTTAATATTACTTATCTTCTTGCAGTTACTACTTGTGAGAATTCTCAGTAGGACCTTGCCTCCAACTTAGAGCCGTGCTCTAAGTCTTCTCTTTACTTCTCTGCCCCTATCAAGTATTCCTCCTGCTCCTTCCCGCCCTCTGCATCATCCTCTGCCTCCTCCGCTCCTATTAAGTATTCCCCCTGCTCCTCTCCACCCTCCCCATTATCCTCCGTCCTCTCCGCTCCACTCCTAGTCGGTCCCCCGCTAGTAGCTCTTACCTCTTGACCCTCAAAGCGGACCTAAGTGGTCCACTTGTCCTATCGTCAGACAACATCGGACCCACTCCAAATTTGGGGCATGTACTCGGCTAAGGGCACAGCGCAAGAGTGGAAGCCAAGCCCCGACACCTCTGATTCCTGAGTCGGCACGGTACCTAACACAGCCTATTCAAGCAATTGATCATCCGAGCTTCCAGAAGATGATTGCTGTAGCAGCTTGTGCTATGAGCAGTGTTGTTCTGCCGAATTGTAATGCTATGCACTGCAAAATTAGGAATTTGTTCAAGAAGCAGATATATGCTTACATCTAGACTAGTTTAAGGAAGAGCATATTAAGTTGTATGGTGAGCATGGTGTTCCATCATCACCAAAAAAGAAGTCTGGTAAGGTACATGGACTTATTCAAGAGCTCTCTAGTGATGATGAGAGTGGTGACAATGAACCAGAAGAGTCGGAAGGGGATCCCCAATTGCCATGGTTAAGAGAGTTCCACCTCTACCTTAACTCATCTACTCTAGTTCCCGATAACATGTCTATCATTCAGTGGTGGGGAGTAAGGTATCATTTCATGTCAACTGAATTGTTGTTGATCTGGCTTAATGTTATAGGTGAATGCTCGTCAGTACCCTGTATGGGCATACCTTGCCCATGATCATTTGTCGATCATGGTTACTTCAGTTTTGAGTGAGCGAGCTTTTTCTGCTGCAGCTCTGACTGTCACCAAGTGTCATAACCACTTGAAGGGTGATGTTGTAGAGGCAATTCAGGTGCTTCACATGATGTATCAACATGATTTGATCTTCTGAGAGGCCCCTACTTCAACTTTAGAATTAGCATCAGAGGGACCAGATGATGGCAAGAAGGAGGTCATTTCAGATGTATCAGATGTTGAGTATTGAGTCTAATTGTCTCTGTGTCGGAAAAATCTAATTTTGGTTGGAATATATTAAAAGGGTGTGGAAGGCTTCAATTTACCGGCAGCATTGCGGTCCGGTTGCAAGACAACCCAAAAATCATGGAAGTTGCTTGGAAGCCTCAGGGGTGGTCTTCCAAGACCATCCCAAGACCATTCCAATGCAAGGGTCAAATTAAGACAGCCTAAAGATCTCGCCTTGATTGCAAGATAATTGGAAGTTACGTGATTCCATTTTGAGGGCATTGGATTCATTGTAAGGCAAAGCATCAAATTGGAATCCCATCAAAATACAGTAATTACAAAAGTTGATTTTCTTGATACTGTCATATCCCATACCTCTGGATCCGGAATTCCGGATCTACTTCATTGAAGTCCGGTCCTCTGTCTTACTATTCCACCCGGCGCTCCACCTTCATCTCCACACTCACCCCTAACTCCTTTTAGATTAGCTATTGCTCCGGTTACCGGTTATGTCCTATTCCACTATGCTTACTGATCCGTCCATTCTTACTTCATTTCTGACTTCACTGCTTTGATCTGTTATACTTAGTAATAGACTTTCCACATGCTTTGTACATAGCCCTTACCTTTGCTGACTGATTCACTTACATGATACCTACAGTATATAAACCCCTGTAATACTCCGGAACTCCTTAGTTCGAATATCATCTTAGTTCTGCTCATTCCTGCAATCTCCGGACTTGAGTCTCACCTCTTGTCCACCTCCGAGTCTTAGGGGTTAAACCTTAGGACCACCTCTCTGGCTCTACCTTAGGGTAGTCTAACCTCTGTTCTGTTTCTACTCTGGACTTCTGTAGTAGCCTTACTCCATCCCCACATAAGTCTTCCGGAGTTCCGCCGAACTCCACCGACTTCTGTCCTCTGGAATTCCCCGGACTTCCATTGGACTTCCCCTCTGTCCCCCGGAAATTAAGGGCACGTACTCGGGTAAGGGGCGCAGCATACAAGCTGAAGCCGAAGCCCTTTGAGTAACCTCTCCCTTGAGCACGACCTTAACAGATACGTATCACCAATACCATTACAAATGTGCCTTTCACGAGGCGCCCTGAGCCAAAGCAAGCAATAATACCTCCTGCGGTGAGAGAATGTCAATGGGGTTCAACTAATATGTGCGGATACGCACATTATAATGGCAGGATGGCAGCACTACAGCGGTCCAGGAATAAGAGTCCACCATCCACAAACGGCTGATCCATATTGTGACCGTGGCATGCATAATTCGTCATTGAGTACATGAACGAAATTGGTGCCGGCTGCTGCGGCGTCTTGGTGGCACGCTCGAGGAGAAGGCTATTATAGTTACAGCAGTGGTAGACATTGTCGAGGGGGAAATGAAGGAGAAGCATTTGACGGTAAGCAACTGCCTGCCTCAATGAGTCAACAATGAGGGCTGTGATTAGCAAGCTTTTCAGTATTGAGTTTTTTTTTAAAAACACATACCATGTTCTGAATCATTGTAGCACCACAATGATGGAAAGGCATTATGGGTGAACAAATCAGCATCAAAGACGACAGTGGGTGACATTGAGCCTCAGACTGAGTTGTCCTCATGGTGGAGTATCAATGTGGATTTTGTCGTCAGGTAACAATTCTAAAGAAATGGAGCGCTCATTATATTCAGTGGTAGCAGCAATAACAAGCACATTGGTAAAATTTACCATGTCATATAAGGAATCCTCAATGGTCTTGATGAGCTGAGGATTCAGAGGTCTAAGGGAAGTCCAAGGCAGATTCAGACTATAATGCAGAATATACTGTCAATGTGGTTCAGGACATTGAAAGGAGTTGAAAGTCAGAGGGAAGATGAAGTTCAACCTTTGTTTGGCCTTGCATCATCTTTCCATAATCGGAAACAGCTTGCGATTTGAATCAAAGTCTAATTTAAAATGCGTAGGCAGCAAATTCTATAAGCACTAAGTAGAGTCCGAGAGCGACAAAAAAAATCAGTATTTGCAGAATATTTTTAAGGTCTGGCTGCTGCTGGACGAGCGTGACAGAAACGCCCTTAAAAAAAGGTAATGAGAATGCAAATCAAGAAATACTATGTATTGAAAAAAATGTAGGTGTAATGACTGTTGGATGAGCGCAAACTATTTGGCCTTTCAGCCAGACCTCCGTGTAGTCTGAGCATTGATGCTCCAAACAGCTGAATGAGTAGAATCTGCAGTGAAACCTTCGGCTATGACAAGATTATCAGCCATCTGGGCTTTGCGCCAGGGCTTTGGTTTTGGTTTTGGTTTTGGTTTGGGGCATGCATTATTAATTTCCATAGGACTTAAATGTTCAACTCCAAGACGAACATCTTGGTCCCCCAGATTAAGGTCCCCCATCGTGGTAGATATAGACTCTGGAGGAGCTGGAATAGGGGGAGCTGGAACAGGTGGGGCTACAATAGTGGGAGCTGCCGCTGCATTGACAGTCGGAGCTGCAGGAGGATGATTCAGAGGTGTGGGAGGATGAGCCTCATCTTCAGAGTCTGAAAGGAGTGAATTGTGTGGGACGCTAATGGTCTGTGAGTTTAGTAATGGCAGACGGACATCATCCAAATGACCTGCATTGAAGACCGGGCCTTCAAGCTCCTGTTCCATGGCATGCTCAAACTCTTCTTCATACATGTGGCCCAGTCCATCGTCATTGGCAGAAGGAGGGACAGAGGATGAAATTGAGAAGAGAGCATCATTGAAGAATAAGAAGACCTGGTGTGCCCAGGGGCCACCAGTGAGTAGGCGTTGACGGAAGAAGTTGTGGTATTTGCGATATGGTATCTTAGTGGTCTCCCCAATCTCAGTCAGTTCTGTGTCACTGGAAAGTAGGAACATTGCCTGATGTTTGAGAATAATGAGTCGTAGTTGTAACAATAGCTCAAAAATAACTTACGATGACAGCAGCAGCAGCAATCATACCTGGTGTTATGGCCCATAATTTCCAGATCTTAGCCTTCGTCCTAGAAGATGCAGCGCCTGTGGCAGCCAATGATGATTTGCCAAAGAGCGATACTTTCAACACCTGTTATACACCATATGAGGGTTTATTAGCTTGTACAATGACAAAAAAGGGACGTACTTGCACCAGCTTCACTGATTTGAGCATCTCGTTTGGTACCGGCATTTCGGGTGTAGGAAACAGCACCGGCACAAACTTCGTATAGTCACCATGGGGGCTCAGTAAAAGCGCACGACATCCAGGGTCTTCGTGTCATTTGTAGCTCCGTATGAAGATGTTCGCGCTCAGACTGAAGATAGCACCAGCACATGCCTTGACATCTGAGGCCATTTCAGAATGAGCATTACTGACGCCCCTCCCGAACTAAGGAGATTTAGATCAGAACATGAGAATACATCAACATGATAGGCGCAACATACCTGAGAGCCGAAGCTATGATAATTCATCAATTCATGCTCTTCTGCAGGAATGAACTGGAATAGTTCGGCCTTCACACCATCCTCCATCGACACCCCGCTTATCCAGCGCTCCTTGCTGTTAAGATTGACGTCTAGACAAGTACGCAATGGGAAGATCTCGACGTTAATCCAAAGGCAGTGAGTGATGGAGTACTTCCTCCCAAGAGCTCAGATGGTATCTTCCTTAGCTGCCATTGCAAGATCATTTGGGGTGAGATTGCGTCATTTGTGACCTTTGGATATTGCCACCTCAAGCAGGGTGTTCCTCTTCATAGTCTCCTGGTATCTACCACGCAAGTTGAGTAACAACTTTTGAGTGACCTTGAGAGCCTAGTGATCACAAACCAATGGATTTAAAATGTGATATCAAACTCAATAACAATGTAATAACTTACCTGACGGAGCTCCTGAGGCGTTGCATCTACAGAAGCAGGTGCAATTGCGGTGCAGACCTGTATAAGCTCTTCGTCCAGGTCATCTGAATTAGACTCTGATGAGGACTCAGAGTCAAATTTGGTGTTGGACTCCAGTAGATCTTGGTGCTGCAGCATGATGGGCAAAGGCAAGAGGACTGGCGCGACTTGAAATTGGGTAGAACTGGAGGAATCTGGATCAGTGTCACTGTGAGTTTATATACAGAACTCATAGTCTGGATCATGCACTGATAGGCGAGCATTGCAATTCAGAACATTTTGGGGACTTGAGGACGGCACCACGCACAAATACATACTAAACCTGTAGCACAAGTAGCCATTGCACACAAATCAGGAACTCAAAGGTAAAATACACACCCATTATGCTCCAAAAATGTCCAAGTACAACTCGTAACGTGTAATGATCCACGTGTGGTGTCATCATCGAACCCCTGCCAAGAGAGGGTTGTGTTATAAGAAATGCATGATGAGTACACATGTCGGTGACTTGTCGATGCCATTATCAATAATGCTCTGAAACACCCGAACATGGTGACCTTGTTAGTGAGCGGCAATATCCTTCAAGTTCATAAAGCTTACCATTATTTGATGACGTTGACCTGATTGCCAATGGCCATGAGGAAGTTGTCAGATTTGATTTCATGGTTGAGGGATTCTCACCTGTACAATAAAAAAGTACATAATAAAAGGAGGGAAGAACAATCTTCATTAATGCTGTGGCAGGTCGTGCAATGGGATTCAGAGAGAGCAGGGGTCAGGTCTTGTTGCGAGGAGGGTGAATATACAGCCTAAGGGGACCTGGGGGTGTGGGACTTTAGTGCGCGTCCGTTATAACACTGGGGTAGATGTGCAAGAATACCTACTAGTCTACGAGCGGATGTATTAGTCCTCAATGACTTCTTGATTTTAGCCTCCATCTTGGGGGTAAAATTGCTGCTCAAGATCTCCCATAATAGGATTGTGCTGTAGATAGCAGTCAGATGTGAATGGAAAGCATAGATCAGAGGCCACACCATTTGAAAAGTTACATCGCAGAATACATAATACAACGGAGGTCTAAGGAGCTTGCCAGGATTGTGGGTCTGCGATATGGAAAGGTACAGTAATATCTATGGTAGAGTTCAGTCCAGTGAGGGATGAGTTAAAAGAGTTGTCTCTGAGAATGAAGAAATATGTCAGTGTCTACATAATTAACAAGGAAATAGTCTCCAGGAATAGCAAAGTCCGGCACAACTAATACACCACGAATGATAGATTGAAGCATGATGAATTCTGATGAAGCCATGGGTCACGCACGAAGACGAGTCAGTCGCAAATCTCGGTCAATAGCACATTGCAAACCCATTCGCAGATCCATAGGTAGAACTGAAGTGAGATCTAAAACCCTGCTGCCAACCGTGTGCTTGAACATAAGCAAGATGCGAACAAAAATGTTCTTGTCATTGCTGTCTTTGTCATTGGTGCGAATCAGGGCACAGTCACATCACTCATGCTCATGAAAGCTCGGGTTACACCGCAAATAATCTGTAGTGAGCTTCCAATCCACAGCAGACTCATAGTTGACCTTGAGGAACCGATGCTCCTGGACCTGCGATAAAGAAATTTAAGAAGAGGAACATCAGTGAAACAACTATTACTGACAGTGTGGGTTTCGGTAGCTACTGTGATATCAGCGTGACTGCGGCCGATTCAAGTGTGTTCGACCCTATAGGGGAAGCAGTGCAATGCAAACCACCAACAACAAGTTGTATTGTCCGACCTAATAGTCGATGCCAATGCCGACTTGGCCGATCGAAGTTGAGCAAAGAGAGAGTGAAGCTGAGCAAAGTGGAGCGCTCCTGAGTGATAAATGAGTGAAATAGAGGAGGTGTGTGTGTAGTATGATGAGCGAACATTTAAGAGAGTCGGCTGACGACTCAATGAGAAATCACACAAGAAATCGTTCCAAGTGAGAATTTGCTAGAGAAACTACTAAGAACATGGGCGGAATATATAGTAAATGAGACTAAGTGATGAAGGGGAACTTCAGGTCGCTTAAGATGCCTCATGGATCGCTAAATACTCGTTTCTCTGTGTCCATGTAATAAGGTGTGGGGTGGGGCGATAAAAGGCCGATAAGCGGTCCAATTATGTGAATGGGGATGGAAAGTGATCAAAGTAAGAGATATACGTACCAGTAGACGATGGGCCAATGACATGAGACGATGGATAGTGACCGATTGCGTGTGCAGACGATGTCCGACTTGGATCGAGTGCGACCGACTGGGCCAATCGTCGGCCAACGTCGATGTGGAGCGGCAGCGCAGGAAAGTGGGTCGGAGAGGATCGGAAAGATAGGGGATACTAGCTCAGTAGCAATCGGCTTCCTACAACGGTATCTCATGCTGAGAGTATCAGCCACATTTTGCCATCAGGTAGCAGTATGTTGTAGGTGGGCAGAAAATTGTTGAGGAATAATGAAAGTTTCTTGCGGAACTGTGCAAAGGCAGGCTTGGATGCATTTTCTTCTTCGAGCTGCGAAAGGGTCAGGGAGTGTTGCGGGGCACCAAGGTGAATATGTCTGCCAAAAGGTTGATCATCTAGGTCTTCCTCCTCAAGTTCTCTCTCTGAGAGCATGGCCTTACATTGTTCTTCATCAAGGTAGTCAACGCGGCTGCAGATGAGCCCGGAGACAAGGGTCATATGATCTAGTCTAAGTATCTAGTATGCAAAGGATGCACAATGAGTTGAATTACAGAAAGCACGATCTAATAAAGTGATACCTGGTTAGCGATATCCTTCCTGTTTGTTTGCAATTTGTATGCACATTTGATCAGTCCATGTTGCTTCTCATTTGGTCTGGTGCTGAAGTTTCGAGCTGCTCCTTTCTCCCTAATGTCAGTGAATACATGCTTCGAGGCATGAGCCTTTGGGAAATTCCAATTCTTAGTCGTGTCATCGCCAAGGGCCTCAATATATTCCTGTGTGATAGTAGTGTTGAGTCACAGTGACAGGCACGAACAAATCGGACAGGACTTACATCTAACAGTTTCTGAAACACAAGGATCTCCGCCTCTCCAGCTGCAAGAGTACTTTCAGTATGAACATCAAGCAATACATACATATCAATGTGAAGATAGCTCACTATGCACTTTAAGAGTGCATAGCCAGCTTCATCTTCCACATGTGTGAGCACGTTCTGTGCCGCGTACACGATTTGCTATCAAAACCATGAGAAATGTGCAGTTTTAAATATAGCGCACTAGAATATACCCTAGATATGTCCTGGAATTTGTTACCATCAGTAAAATATATGTTGGTAATGCGGTTGAAATGGTTCAGGTTTTGCCATTGCGGAAATGCATCAAACCTTTAAAATTAACGACATATGAGAGACTGATAGAATAACAACTGGGAAGGGACTTACTGTTTATCAACCTTCTTCTCGGCAGCATGTCCAAGTGCCTTGACGTGTTTCTTAAACTCATCAAACAAGTGATTGCCAAACTTCCCCTTATGATAGAGATGTAGCGGATCTTGCGAGAGCGCATCGTGCGGGTTGGACAGCTTGACTTTCCATAATGCATTCTGATGACTGTGAGATCATGTAAGTGAGAAAGACACATCCATCACACACCTTGATAGGCCTCAAGTTCTGTTTCTTCAGTTCTGCCTCGCCCACAATGCAGTCTCTGGACCATAACTTGACACGATCTTGTGCGTCTTTAATGGTGCGCTTAGGGTAAGTCGTTGAATGGTCGGTGAGTTCTTCTCTCGGGGCCAGGCAAATGGGGCAAGGGCAGGCAGAATTAAGGCCCCGTATTAGCGCCATCACACACCTAAATATAAATGATTTGTGTTAGAAACAATGTGTTAATGATATATAAACATGGACTACTCACTGCTCTTCATAATCAGCTGATAGGATCAGAATTAATGGGAATAGCCAGCGTTAAGTTCCATTGTAGCACTAAGACCATCAATTGAGTGCCATTCACACAACATTGCAAGGACTTACAATCAGTAACCAACCTACCAGACACCCTCCTCCGGGACCATTGACATTCCTAATATTGACTGGTAGATTCCCGCAGCGGGTGATTACTGGGTATGCTTTGACAGTACCAGCTGACGAAAGATGAGTTTTGTCAGCATATAATATGAATGCGAAGGGCACTCCATTCTCAGGTAATAAGGACTAAATGAATTGAAATTTAGTAGTCAGTCACGTAGTATACAAAAAGATTGAGCACACTTGAAGATTCCACCAGTGGTCTCCCATCCATGGCTCATGAAAGCAGTGCTCAAAGTGAGTCCCGTCGTGCTTATAAAGCTGCTGAGCATCCCAGACAAAGTGTGGAGCCAACAAGGGATTGGCTAATAGGTCCATTGCCCAGTCCCACAGAGGCCGCGAATAAACTTCATACTCAATTGTTTCCTTCTTGTAATCAATGGGTATAATATGTTTTTCAAACTGTATAATTGAACATAGTCATGTACACTTGATACAAAAGTAAAATAAAGTTACACTGCTCTCACTGGTGACATCTGGCTAGACGCCCTAGCCCATGCAGTTGTAACATCTCTGTGTGTTCTGAACGAAAACTTTGTGTGACCATCTGCGACTTGCCAAATGAACTTCAACAGCTCATTCATTTGGTCCTTGTTCAGTGCGGCTTTGTGCGCAAGCTCAGTGAACTCAAAGTCCGCACAACAGGTAAAAGGGTGCCAAGGTGTATCATCAACCATGGGTGAACGTGTTCCCAATCCAGTCCCATAAGCAGAAAATGTCTCGACAGTTGTAGGGTGACCGCTGTGGGGGTGGAACTCTGTCTTGAATGTGTCGGAACGGGCTGAAGTTGTTGCTGTGGCTGCGGAAACTGGAATGAGACTTGGAGGAGGTGCTGCTCCTGCAGAGGTGCTAGCCATGCTTGTATCAGAGTTAGAACCTAATAAATGATGTTAGTTATGTGGCTCGGGTCAAGATAAGAACACATACGTTGTTGTGCCTCACCCTCGACACTCTGCGTGTCATTGAGACCCCCTTCCAGTCCTGCAGTAGGATAATCGTGGCCATCATCATAATCATACACATCAAATAATACAGTAGCAACAGATGTTGCAGCTGCACCTCCTGATTCGGAGTCTGCAAGCACAGAGACTTGTGCAGATGTGCTGGTGAGGTTATGCTCATTTGTTTTCTTGTGTTTCTTGTTGTGATGACGTTCTGATGCAAAAGATTTTGATAATCAGTGATTGATTCAGGATATTATCAAGATATACAATGAACTGTCAATATGTTCTCCTTCATTCAACATTGAGTGTACTGCAGCCCACACAATTTTTTTGTCCTCTTTCTTCTTTTCTTTCTGTTGAAGGCAGCTCTGCTCGTGCGACTTGATGCCTCTAGATGTGTAGGATTCATTACAATATTGACATTGGACCTTGCTGGTAGACACAGAGGTTTGCATATATTTGCACCCTCTGTTGGTGTTGTTTCTGAGTGGAGGCATATGTTATTGTAGTATAATATAAACACAATGAAGAGTCGGCTTGAATTCAGATACAGGGCATTGAAAATCAGTTTGAGGTATTGGAATCGAAATCGGATTGGTTGCTGACATAACCAAACACTTGCAAGGCACAGATGCACCTTGCAAGTTACCCAAAATAATGTTGCTTCCTTGGAATGTTCTAAAAATATACCACCGTTCCTTGGAAGAATCTTGCATTGCGGATGCAATATGGCTAAATGATATCTCAATTTGGAAACATTACAAGGCACCTATGGAAATTTCCAACATAGTAGTGAAATAAATGTTTTGACATATTTTTAACTTGTAAGCCCTGGCCTGGGCCCAAGCCAAGCCCAAGCCAGGCCCAAGCCCTCCTAAAGGGCCTGGCCTGAGTTTTTTCCAGGCCCAAGCCCTGGATTTCAGGTCAAGCCAGGCCTGATGCATCACTAAACACCTCATCCTCTCTGTTCTCCCACTCAACTGTCTCATCATCACGGTGAAGGAGTTCTGTGAAGTCAGTGAGAAAGACCTCTTCAGTGATCAAGTTGGAAGCAGTGTGATCTACAATGGATTTGCACCAACTGAACTTCATGATCTGGAGCTGTTTGAATTGGTTGGACCCTAAATGAGAATGGCGACCAGTGGCAATCTCTGCATCTGCAGAGAACAAATGCCTTGTTTCAAGTTGTATTCCTCTAGGCTGGGAGGCAATTGGCTCAAAGAAGGGACACTAGAAAACCGCTGGTGTACATTATGATAAATAAATTTGTGTGCCTTCAAGGGTGAGCTGAGTTCAAACAGAAGGGACAAAGAAGATAAAGTAGAGCATGAAGGAGCTAGTTTATGAGGTAGAATGATCCTCAAGTCCAAAAAAGTTTTGCAGGAGAAATACTGCATCTGTGGCCTCCTGTCAATAGTGTTTGAAAGTCTGGTCAGGTCCAGTTTCTTGATTTTTTTTGGCACAACCAGACCTAGACTGGTGTTTGTTTTCTTGCTGTGAACCAAAAGACTGGACTGGTGTGAGGATTGCCCTGACTATAGGCTTGGAATCCTTGTTTCTGTGACCCACATCCACATACTTGTTCTGTGCTGCAGGCAATAGTTGTAACCATGTTCCCTTGCCTTGTGACACATTGTGCACTTTACCCAGAAGCTTTCCTGTGCTATCCGAGTAGTTGCAGTCATATTACCACGGACCCAGACACCTGCAATGCATTCCCACACCTTTGGAACCTTTGGAACAACCTTAAGAATTCTCTAGCGATCAATTCACTGTCCATCTGGCCCTCTGATATGTATTTAGCTTGTCCTCATGTCTTGTTACAAAGTATACAGCCTTATTACATGTTATTACCTATTCCTACCTTTCCCTATCTCTATCCCTTCTTTACTTGACACAGTTTTGATAGTATAAGTACTAGGTATCACTATACAACTACTTCACTTCACTTTTACTGTATCTCTCTGGATTTACCTTAGAAGTAGTCACCTTGGGATGCTCTTTTGAGTTTACATTGGTAATCCCTATACCTTGACCTTACCTCAACATACCTGATCCTTACCTTGACATTCCTTACCTTGCAAACACTAGCTTTCATACCTTGTTACCTCATATTGCATCCCTATCTTGTCAGTACCTTTCTGCATTGTACCCGGAACTTTCCCATGCTTGCACAACCCATTCCACAACATTCCTGCTGTGGGTACAACAAGTCTGTTGAGGCACAGACTAATGTTGGGTCTGGCAACACCTAGCTGCTATGTCTACTAAGTAAACAATGTTTGACCCTTAGAGGATATCCCACTGAACACAGTTGTGAGGCTTCCAGGTTAGGGGTTCCAAAGGTGCAGGAAGGTTGCGAAATGGGTTGCAAGTGCATGGGAATGTTGCAGAATGGGTTGTGCAAGTGCCAGAAAGTTCCAGGTACAATGCGGAAAGGTACTGACAAGATAGGGATACAATATGTTGTGCTGCAGATAAACCAGGTTGATTTCTGCCAACCACGTAATGAGCCAATGTGTCATATACCGGATCCGAGCACCTCCAATACCACCTGTGAACATTCCCACCACTGGTCTGACTCCCTGTTTCCCCGTCCACTCCATCCCTCCTCCTCCAACAATGCATGAAGTGCATCTCAGCAGGACTAGCCCTGCTACCTCCACCTGACTCCACTCCACTCCTCCGCTCCTCCGACACTACCCCTATTTCCTCCGACACTATATCCCTACCATCCGACCCTATCTGGAGCTCCACTCCTCTGCTCTGTTGGTCCGACTGATCCTACTCCTACTCCCTCCACCATCTCCGCTTTTCCAACCCACTTGGTTCCTCCAGTTTCTCTCGTATCTCTTCACCCAACTATTAGTCCGCCCGACCGCCTCACCGGTCCACTCCTAGACTAGGAACCACTCAACTGGTCCTAACTCCATTTAGTATCATAATTCCTCCTTTCAGATCACCGGTAATTCCTATACCCAAGTGATTATTGATCTGTCATGTACATACTATTCTCCGAGCCTCCTTCTCATATGTCTCAGTCATCTTTCTAGTAATTCTGTACACTCAGCACATAGCCTTCTGCTATGCTATGCTACTTACTTAGAGTATATAAACATATGTACACCTGTCTGTAGATCTTTAGTGTGAATATTACCTTTTCTAAGCCCTGCTCTCTTGTCCCTGTTCTTGGGCAAAATCCTTGACAACTCCTGTTTGCCGGCCTAGGGGATTGACTCCCTAGGTTGGCCGCCTTCTCTGCTTGTCCAACTTCCCGCACCTCTGCTGCCTTTCCTGCGTGTCGGACTTGTGGCTAATACTCTCGTACCTTTGTCCTCCGTGTTTCCATTCTGCTTCAGACTTCATCCAAACAGTCTCCTCTGCTCTGTTCCTACTGTTAGCTCCGACTGCAGTAGCCCTCCGACTCTCCCCTGTAGGGCAGACCAATCTCCACCTGATGTTCCTGCAATTATCTAGTAGTCCGTTGGTCCTCCTTTGGAGGACCTCTGCTCCAACATCCTGTCGGAGCTCGTAGAACTCGAGTCGGACTACAATCTGAAATTAGGGGTATGTACTCGGGTAAGGGGTGCAGCACATGAGCTGAAGCCAAGCCCCTCAGACTTCATCATACCCCTGAGCACAGTCTTAACACGATGCTGCTGTGAAAAAAGTGGCACTGTATTCCCACACAATGTGATCCAATTGAACATGTTTGATAGTTGGGTGTTTGGTCATCTTGATTTCCTGACAATAATCCATGTCTGGTGGTGACCTTTATTGCAGGGCAAGATCACCAACAAGATGCCATTGGACAAAGTTATCATGCCACAGCATCTTCTCATGTCTTTTGAGCCAGAGTATTATTTGACTATACTCATCTTTATGGTTGGTAGCCCTGTAAGTGTCCTTTGTGAGGTCAATGTGTAAATGTTTGGTGTACTTGGTGTTGTAGTTGTTGGTCATGCCATACATTTTGATCATATGTACATAGTGATGGAAGGAATGAAGCTTTGGGAAGTGCCAGAGTTTGATCAGTGTGATACGGGTATTGTGCAAGGTAAAGGAAATCAAGGATGGCACAAATGACATGAGTAAGGTAAGCATTATTGAGATTACCAGGAAACCATATACCAATGACAATGCTGAGCAGGAAGTGACAGATTTGATTGTGCTCAGTTCCACTAACATGGGAAAGGCTACTGATCCCTTTTAGAAACAAGCAGATATTGTGGTGATGGGGAAGCCTGTGACAGTGAGCGTCAATCTCAGCTTTGCTCTATGTCTCCTTGATCCACTCAATGAGGTGCTTGATGATACCCTGGTAGAGTTGATGTAACACATCTGGTGTAATGGATTGGAATATGTTAGCATGCAGGAGATCCAGCCAGAATGTTTTGAAGACAGGCTTAACCCCACACTCCTGACACACTCATCTCCACAGGTCATGATCCTCATCAATAAGGGACAATGTAGCAAGAATTGCCTCAAGGTCACACAACTTCACAGGAACATCTAGACTTCCCAACTCCTCATGTGGGATATCACACTTCAGGCACTCTCCTGACTTCATCTCAGTTGTTAGCAACTGTTCAGGGTAATCTGTGGAATAACAAGCAATAATAGGATGTCCTTGATGCACAACTCCATTTCCACTGGCCATAGCAACACCATCCTCACCAGGGACTTTCAGAGGCTCTAGAATGTGATGCAAACAGACATAAAATAAATTTGTTGCCATCCGACATCTTGCAGCCTTGTTCATGATATGATCAAGTTTTGAAATTAGTAGACAGATGAACAGGATCCATGCTTGTCAAGATGGCTTTCAATGAATCTCCTTTGGAATATTGCCTATTGTCATATAGATAGGATAGGCAGATTTATTTCAAAACATGGAAACCTGTGTCTTGTCGGACAAAAGGATGATGGGTATGGCTGTTGCTCTAGGTTTCTTGGCTTCAAGTTCTTTCTAAATAATATTGTGGTAAGTTTGATATGATTCAAGCAAATTTTTCAGTGACTTGCCTGGGTGGACCACCACCACTTGCCAGTATGGAGATCATGGCACATTTGGATAGTCTTGTCAGTGTCAACATAATGGTGTTCAGGGGCATAGTTGAGATGTTGTGAGAATTCAGGATCTGAATAAAGGGCTTTGACACATTCCATGATGTTGCATGAGTAAACATCAAATGTCTCATCTGCAATAATGATTTCTTCATGTTTTAAACATGGTCATCTGCACAGTAACTGTTGGTCAATGATTTGATTGAGTTTATGGGTGTTTCAGTATGAAAGACCCAAGGCATCATGAAGCTATATAAACATTGTTAAAAATGTTGGCCCATCATGACCCAATTGAAAAAGCTCATGCCATCAATTATGAGCAGCTCTGAAAAAGCAGTTGAGCCAGAACCACAAAGTTTTGCCCACTTTGTGACCTCATAATCTATGTGAGACACAAAGGGAGCCTAAACATTTTCTGCACCTTGCAGTACATTCTTGTAAGACTCGAAAGCTGTAGTGTGGGAGAGATGCACTGGAACACCTGTGTGGCACCATGGAAATTTCTCAATAATGAGCTGGTGACCAAGGGGTGCCTCTGTTTCTTGTCATTCAGCTGGGTGTGGTTGTGCATCCAAGTCCTCAAAATCATCCCCATCATCAATATCCTACAGTATAGGATCTGCAGGGCATTCTAACCCATGCTCAAGCTCTGCATCATGATCCTCTTCCTCCTCTCCATCAAATTCCAAAGGAGGCTTGTCACAGTTATCATCTGGCTATTCCAGATCTTGCTCATTGTAGTGGCTAAAGTAGTCTCCTGTAAATTCTGTTAAATGATGAGAATCAAAATTGTCATCTCCACCATCAAGACTGTCATAATCTCTGTCTTCCAACTCAGGAAAAAGATCAGAATATTGTAATATAGCTGTGCATGATGGATTCATGGTCTTGGTTAGGTGATGAGAATATCCAGTATGCTCAAAGTTTTTAGTGCAACCTGGGCAAGTGTTCATTCTGATGGTAGAGAAACAGATGGTAGATAAAGAGCCAAAGGTATCCAAACAGTGTGTGTATGCTGTTGGTGAAGATCCAAGTCAGGAAAGGTTTAGTTGCAAAAATTAATATGATAACATATAACACAGCAACAAACAAACAAACAAACAAACAAACTTCAAAACAATGGTGGACTATGAACCTTCCAGTTTTCTCAGTCTTTCCTCCCTCCCAACTTTGGTTGAGGCAAATAGTTTGCCCCCTCATCAGTATGCCTCCCAGTCCATCTTCAATGCTGTCAGAGATAGCTGCCTGCAAGTGGAACAGCAAAACAAAGGCCAAGGTGAGTCAAGAATCTGCTAGTGAAAAAAAATGCAATACAGATGAAAGTAAGTAGTACATACATAAAGTAAGAAATTTGTGAGGGACTCACAATCATCAAGAACCACTGCAACAGTGTGGGTGAGGAAAATAGACTCTGGGGTGATTCAGATGTCTAACAAGGGTGCGAGACTAATACTCGTCCCAAGGGGATTGCTACTGGGTAGTGGGTCCTCAAATAAGTATGAGGAAAGCAAAGACTAGACTCTGTCTAGTGACCCTAATCAACCCTACCGCAGGTAGGATGAGGATCCACAAAAATGCGGAACAAGCGGAACAAGCGGAACCTGAGCGGAACTCAAGCGGAATGGAAAGGAATGGAATGGAACTCAAACAGATAAAGCGCGGAACGTACTGATTCGTCGGAACTCGCAGGCAAAGTTGAAGGAAGTATATCATGAGGTTAGATTGATAGTGGGAATAAGTCAAAGTGGTCCTCTAGTAAGGTGAAGGGAAAGTGGGAAGGTAAAAGATGGGATTCGATAAAAAAACACCCCAAGCCCTGAGTACCACTACTTAAAGGGAAGATTATTTTCAAGGAACACTGAGGTACAGGTAGTAAACTTCTCAGGAAGTGGAAGTGAAGGCAGGCAGTGCACATGGGCGCAATACTCTGGAATAGGGGTCCGTGCCATAAGGGCATGTGTCAGTGTGATCTGGATAACGTTAGAAACAGCAGGAAGAGGGATACAGCATACCAATGGACCTGGAAGGATGGGGACAGGACATGCGAAGGTTGTCCGACGATGCACAGGAATATCGGATAGTGCGGGCGGGTTCCGATGGATGCACGGGAATGTGGAACCCATCGGACGATGTGCGGGAAACACGGAATGTGTGGAATATGTGGAACTAATGTGAGATGATGCAGAAAGGATGGGGTTTTACACCTACAGTGGGGGAATTCCCCACACCTGTGCACAACTTGAATACTGACTGTCCCCAGTCAGTCACAGATAAGCTACATGTATAATGTGCGGGAATGCATGCAGAACTGCGGAACATGAGTGTGGGAATGCGGAACTCATTGGATGATGCGCAGGAAGTGTGTGCGATGGGATCGGTATGGAACGGATGTACACTGCATGGAAGGTGATCTCTGATGATGCGTGGGAATGTGCACGGAACTGCGGAACGCGAGCGCAGGAATGCGGAACTCATCGGATAATGTGTGGGAAATGTGGATGATGGTGCAAAGTGCTGTATGCAATGGGATCGGTATGGAACAGATGTAAACTGCATGGGAGGTGATCTCCGATGATGCGCGGGATAAGCGACATGTATAATGTGTGGGAATGCGCATGGAACTGTGTAATGCGAGCGTGGGAATATGGAACCCATCGGATAATGTGCGGGAAATGCGGATGATGGTGCAAAGTGCTGTATGCAATGGGATCGGTATGGAACAGATGTAAACTGCATGGGAGGTGGTCTCTAATGATGCATTGGATGTGCAACATGTATAATGTGCAGGAATGTGTGCGGAACTGTGGAATGCGAGCGTGGGAATGCGGAACTCATTGGGGGGTGATGTGTGTGTGTGGTAAACTCGTCTGTCCGCATGTCCAAAGTCCAAGTCCTATCCAGTCCTCATTGGCACCTAAGTAGTGTGAGTGAACAATTGTAAGTAATGTTGTACACGGATCCAATGAAAAAGCGGAAATGATACGAGTGGTTTGCGGATAACTCATCCGATGTGTCTTCATTGATCCGCTTCCTTCCTCTATTCCTCGCCCGCCGTCTGCGGATCCGACGGGCCTTTGTCTAGTATCGATCGGAACACCTGGGAACTACAAACATGCATGGTGCGGCTTCATGTGGGAGAAATAAAACAGATCCTTGTGGTTTATGCGCGCACGTATAGTCTAATCAGATCGAATGGCAAATATATAACGGGAACCTGTAGATATGTAATTTCTTTCTTTTTAGTATGCGGGGCGGATAGAGACAGAACTAGGCGGAACTGAATGGAACAAGAAGGATTGAGAGATGGATCACCGGACGAAACCCGGGGTAAAACAGATACTAAGTACTTGTTTTTGTGGTTGTTGTTCTATGATTTTGGGTTAGCAGATATGTACTGTAAGAGTGTCAAGTTAGGTGCGGAAGAGAGCATGAAAATGTGCAAAATTTGGGATCTGGTTCTCCGCTGTATTCCTCCCTCGGACTTTGCATGATGACCTCCTGGTCATCCGAGTGACATGGAAAGTGATCGGGTAGTTGGGCATATACAAGTGTGATCAGGTTGTCAAATTGGATCGTATGGTGGACGGATCGGGTCATGGACGGATGACGGACGGATCAGACAGGTCCCGGACTGATCAGGTCATGGACAGGTGATGATCGGGAATAGATTGAGAACAGAATGAGGAAAGGATCACTGGATAAAACATCAATGCAGATGATAAGCGGATGGATGATGGATGATATAGACTGATGATGGGCAGCTGACGGACGGGTGATGAACGGGTGACGGACGGATGACGGACGGATTGTGATTGAGCGATGAACGGATCGAGAACCGAACAAGGAAAGGATCACTGGATAAAAGGGCAATGAATGGATCACAAACAGATCAGATGGGTCGGATTGGTAGTGCGTGAGTGTCAGATGATGAACGGATCGGGCGGGTCGGATGGGTAAGTGTATAGCAGGTGTCTATGCGGTTATGAGTTGGATAGCGGACAGATTGAGGATGAACTGGGAATGGAACAAGGAAATGATCACTGGATAAAGCAATGATGGGATGATAGGTGGATGGATAATGGATAATATGGACGGATGATGGACGGGTGACAGACGGATAGGGTGACAGATGGATCGGACGGGTCATGGGCTGGTGATGATCAAGTGATGAACGAATTGAGGATGGATTGAGAACAGATTGAGAATGGATTGAGGAAAAGGTCACTGGACAAAACAGTGATACAGATGATATGCGGGTGGATGATGGATGGGTGATGGACGGATAGGGTGGCGGATGGATCGGACGGGTCATGGGCTGGTGATGATCAAGTGATGAATGAATTGAGGATGGATCAAGGAAAAGGTCACTGGACAAAACAGTGATACAGATGATATGTGGGTGGATGATGGACGGGTCATGGACGGATCAGGTCTCGGATGGATCGGACAGGTGGTGAATGGGTCATGGACGGATCAGACGGGTGCATTGGTTGGAACAAGAGTGGAATGAGAACGGAACAAGGGAGGGATCACTGGACGATATGGCAATACGGATAATAGATGATACAGATGGATAATGGGCGGATGATGGACGGGTAACTGGTGGATCAGGTCATGGATGGATAGGGTCACGGATGGGTCCGAGATGTTATATTCCGATGGCGGGCTAGTACCCAGTGAGATGTACTCTTGTGTTTGTCGATCCGGATTCAATGCATGATGATGAGGGGCAATGGGAATGATGGGTGTGGCGGATGGGTGAACTTGGTACCAATATGACTGTTGTGCTATATGAGGGATCCGCTCGTCCGGATGTATCCCTGTATTGTATGTATTGGGGCGGGTTGTATTGGAAGGTCCGGATGCATGCGATGGAGGTCCGCCTTGTACTTGGATTGCAGCATGTGTGGTTCCCGGTAGGGTTCGGATCAATGCTATCTGAAGTGTGGAAAGTGTGGATGAGACATGGGTAACGGGTCGATAGGCTTCGTGCAACTGCAGGTTGGAACTACATTCTATCTGATGTGGATCGTTAGGATGACTGCACGAGTACAATGCTAATAACCCCATGCGATCATTGGGAACATCCCGGATGACCTGAAAATCATTGGATGGAAATGTGGAACTAAACTCGAGATGTCTCCTTGAGAGACCCGGACGTAAAATAGATGGAACCTGCAATATGAATGGAACAGTTAAAACAGCAGACGGAAAATCAACATCCATGACACCTGCCTCCTCAGTAACTACACGGAGTACTGGGAGCGAGCTAGGGTCATGCAATGTAAAAACGGCTGATGGAAAATCGGATAAAGCGGAATCGGTAGTAATATGTGTGGTTCTGTCAGATGGATTCGAGTCTATAAGCGGACGGGTCAAGCTGGCTAGTGGTGCAATGATCTGTGGGTAAGTATCGGATCCGCTATCCGATGCCTGCGGAATAGCGGAGGATTCAATGTCATCGAAGAATGATAGTTCATCAATAAAAGTCGATTTATCTGTAGAGGGATCGAGTATGTCGCTCCCATGGACAGATTCCTCAGGGAGCGGATCATCCGTGATGCATGCAGGGACCTCAGTGGATGGAACAGGTGTGGGGGACTTAACTTCCGATGCTTCATCAATGATGACTTCAACTGGTTCCTGTCGATAGTAGCGGGTACCCCGGACTTCTGGGTAAAATCGCAAGACTGCATTAGCAAACTCCTCATAGTTATCACCACGTGATTCCTCCTGATAGGTCCATAGGTCTGCCTCATCCCTATCTGTGTACCGCAGGGCTGCCTTGATGTGAGCCGGATCCGATAGTTCGACGAGATCTGCTAATTGCACAACTTCGTGGAAGAAGGGTAGTAGTTCTGAAGCAATACCGGTAAACTGTGGTGCGATGTCCGATGTGCTCGGAGGCATAAAGCTGGGTGCGGATGACATTTCTATGCGGGGTGCAAGTGTTAGGTGTTAGGACCGGGTTGTGGAACGCTATGCGCAATTCCTTGACAGTAAAGCGGATCGAAACCGACAAAAAGTGGATTGGAACAGATAGAAAGCGGATAGGAACAGATAGAAAGCAGATCAGAACAGATAGAAAGCAGATAGGAATGGGTCTAAAGTGACTGCTAGCTTCCCAGATGATCCCCTCATGGTGGGCTCCAGTTGTGGGTACAACTATTCTGCTGGGTGCAGAAAATGTTGGGTCTTGCTGCCTGCTGCTATACCTGCAAGGAGGTGCATTCGACCCTAGAGGGTTCTGGACTAGAGCTAGGTAGTGCTCAGAGAGAAAAGTGAATCAAAAGAGCACTGCTCATGGTGGTGGCTCAAGAAGATTGATTTTTTACATAAGCAGTAAAAATGCGTACATAAACTAAGTAAAAACCATCAACACAAGCCCAGAGTAACATAACTCCCTACTTGGTTCCATGTAGCAGATGGGTCGGGTAAGACGTGGATGGGTAGCAGAATGGTAGCAGAATGCACAGGAAGATGGTGGTAAGGCTTGGGAATTATATGGGATATGGGCCTACAGTGGGGACGTTCCCCACAATGGTCATCAAAGTTAAAGGTCTTAGAGCAGAAAGGTCACCACATGCACAGTGGACTAGGCTAATGTGCTCTGATGATGGACCAGCAGAGTTGTGATAATGTGCTATGGACATGTGTGTGTGCAAGACCTTGACCTCACTGACTCAGCTCTCGCCTAACCCCTTGCCTGGAACCCCCTACTCCATGCACCCACCTGAAAAAAAAACTGGTGCTGCCCTCAATGCCGCTGGACTCTCATTCTACAGTCTCTTTGATCTCTCCATCTACAATGCTCTCCTCCTCTGACTCTCCATCTTCATCTACATCATTGATTGTTTCATCGTCATTTTCTTCAACACTTCTTGTGGTGTTTTGTTCCATTGCCGCTTCTTGAAGTTTCCTTTTGTAGGCTTCCTGTTCTTTTGCTAACTGCATGCCTTCTCTAGGTAGGAACATGTGTAGGTGTCTTGCACTAAAGTTGCCTTGTAGCAATCCGCCTTTGAGAGTCTCAAGTTTGTCCCAGGATATCCATATGGCTGATGGTTCTGCCGTAAGTGCTATTGGGAAGGGTGATGTCAAGATAGAGTTACCAAATGGTAAAGAACACACCACTGTTGCACTTCGTGACACCTTATATGTACCCAAAATGGTGTTCACCCTCATTTTGACCCAACAGATCACTACAGGAGGTCTTGCTGTGCATTTTGAGGACAAGATCAGCAAGATCTTATCCCACAGTCCCACTCACAGAATTATAGCAATGATCCCTCAGGTAGAAGGACTCTATAGTGTCACAGCTTGCAGTCAGCATCACGTGCACATCGCCAAAGGAAAACTCACTGTCTGTGAACTGCATCACATCCTGGGGCATGTCTCCCAAACAGCTGTCTTGAATGTGGTCAAGGAGAGGCTAGTTGAGGGCATCAAGCTAGACTCTGCCTTACAGCCAGAATTATGTGATATGTGCACCAAGGCCAAGGCTACACGTCAGCCTTTCCCAAAGGAGTTGAAGGTGTGCACCAAGACCTATGGTGAAGTTATACATAGTGATCTCTGGGGTCCCACCAGGACAATGAGTCTTGGTGGTAGCTTATACTACATGACCTTCACAGATGATTTCAGCTGTCAGATGAAGGTGCACTTCCTAGCCAACAAGAGTGATGCACTTGATTCCTACAAACAATACAAAGCATGGCTCTTGCACCAGCGGGAGGGAACTTGAGTCAAGACACTGTGTTTGGATTGCAGAGGAGAGTACCTAAGTCGAGAGTTCGATAAGTATCTGCAGGACCAGGGGGTAGAGAGACAACTCACCATCCATGACTCACTGTAGCAAAATAGTGTAGCTGAACGTCTAAATCAGACCCTTGTAGAGCATGCTAGGGCTATGCTAATCGCCTGCAATCTCCTGAAGTTTCTCTGGAGCAAGGCAGTTAATTATGCTGTGTGGTTAAAGAACCGCTTACCCTCGTGCACACTACCCAATCACACTTCTTATGAACTTGTCCATGAGAAATGTCTGTCCTTAGCTCAAGCTCACAAGTTCAGATGCCCAGTGTATATGCATGTAGGTGATGCTGGCAAGTTGGAGGTGTGAGCAGAGGAGGCTGTTTTTATTGGCATGAATGAGAAAAGCAAGGGCTATTGCATCTATTGTCCCAAATAGAGGAAGGTGTCAGTTGAATGGAACATCATGTTTGTACCTTCAAGTGCGGTTGTTGCTGATGGAATCCAGTACAAGGGGGAGTCCAACTCTCCCAGCACAGTTAGCATCCAGGCCTCCTCAACTCCCACCACTCCAAAGCCTCCATCCACACCTCCCAGATTATTGCAGCACCTTGGAATGCCACCCGTGCTGTGCATTACCAGGACCTGACTGCCGCCAGGATACTATGCAACCCTCAACCAGGGGGAGAATGCTTCCCTTGCAGCTGAAAGCAACTTTGAGCCCGAAGAATCAGACTTCATTGATGAGGAAGTACTCTCTTACCAGCAGTATGTGATGGCTGTGGTGGAACCAGAAGTCACACTTCAGCAAGTGTTAAATGGCCCCGATGCCATAGAGTGGCAAGAAGCAATTGACTATGAAATCAGTCAGCTGGAGAAGTTGGGTACATGGGAAATTATTGACACACCTGTGGGCATGAACTTGATACCATGTCATTATGTCTGACAATGAAACATGGACCCAATAGTGAGAAGCTAAAGCTATGAGCTTGATTAGTAGTGAACGGCCAGCGCCAGAAAGTATGGAATCAATTACTTTGACACCTTTGCCCCTACCTCTAACATGTCGACAATTCAGACGGTCTTGATGATGGCAGCTGAATGTGACTGGGAAATTCACCAAGTCGACATCAAGGGCGCTTACCTGTATGCAGAGCTCACAGAGGAAATTTTTCATGCACATGCCACCAGGGTATTTGAAGGAGGGAGAAGAGAGGAAGGTGTTGAGGTCTAAAGCAGGCTGGGTGTGAGTGGGCTGAAGAATTAGCAGGAGTATTAGCAAAGCTGGGTTTCAAATGTTCACAGGTTGACCAGGCGGTGTATTTCAAATGTTCTAAGGATGAACACACCATTATTACCATCTCAGTCAACGACATTGCCATAACTTCCAAGTATCTACACCACATCACCCTATTCAAGGACCAGCTCATCCAATACTTTGAAATCTCAGACCTTGGTGAGCTCAACTGGCTGCTGGGACTCAAGGTCAAATGCAAATCTTCCGCCCACACTATTACTCTCTCTCTCAGAGGGCCTATATTGACACTATCCTAGAACATTTTCAGCTCTCAGATGCAAAAGCCACCCAGACGCCAATGGAAGTAGGTGTGGTTTTATCTGATGCGCAATCACCAGCAACACATGCCCAACATGAAGCCATGAAAGATGTACCATATGTTATGACCAGCGTTCACCAAATGGTAAAGGCAAGCACACAACCACTACGACTTGGTCAAAGACGATGATGAAGAACAAAGATAGGATTGAGTGTGAACATCTAAGGAGTACTTATGCTAACTAACCTACTTATATACATAACATTAAATAGGAGATATCTGAGTATAAAACAAATCAGCCAATGAGAAAAGAGTCGTATGATGACTGTGGATGATGTAGCATGACATCATGATATATAAGCAATGAGTCATAGATGGTGACTAAATAGAAACCCAAGATCTGACCGGTGCTTCTTCTGGAAGCGAGATTGTTCTAGCCCGTGAAGTTGGGGAACCAATCGGAGAAACAATGGGTGATATGTGAAGAGGTGAAACTGTGACAGGAAGCGAAGTCACATGACTGGTTTGGGAATGAGAAGTAACTGGAGGGAAACTGAGAAATGAAAAATGATTTGTATTGGGGATTCGTGACACCATACCAATGAGGAATAGGGTTGCTGATGTATGCGGCTACTAGTACACACCCCAACATTGCATTCACTGTCACAACACTCTCTCAATTCATGTGCAACCCTGGTACTGCTCACTGGGAAGCCACCAAGTGTTACGGTTGTCTGTGACACCTTTCATTTTCCCTTTCACATTTCATATCTTCACCTCTTCACATTGACACCATGTCACAGTGTCACCATTTCCTGATATCACCCTATCTAGGGTTACTCTCCAACTTCACCTTATCACAGGTGCACACCCCTATTCATTGATCTGAGATCAATCTCGATCTATCCTCGGCAAGTCCTCGGATATTACTTACATGCTGATACCTAGTGTATTCTCACAGACCCTTAACATGCATACACCATGTGTATTCCCATGGACACTTATCTATACTTATATGGACATATTACTTACTTACCCTAGACCCTGACTTACTATCATATATAAGCAGGTCGTAGTCTCGATGATTCCTCATCTTGACCTACGCTAGAATTACCCAGATACATCCTCAGACTACTAGTTAGACACTAGTGAATCCACCTTGATTCCTTTGACTTCTCTAGAGTGCCACCTCTAGTAGATTGATTGAATTGAAACCTCCTTTGATTACCATCAGCGTAACACCAAGTGGGTCCTTCAATACCTCAAGGGTACAGCCAACTATGGAATAACCCTAGGAAGCACAGATGTCAGACTAGAGGCCTATGTAGATGCAGATTGGGCGTCTCAAGCCCACCACCACTTGATGTTGGGATATGTTGTCTTGTTGAATAGAGGACTGGTAGCATGGAGCGCCAGAAAGCAGCCTATATGTCACAAATTCCCAATACAAACCATTTTTCGTTTCTTGGCTTTCCTCCGGTTACTTCTCGTTCCCGAACTGGTCATGTGACTTCGTTTTTATTGGCACATGCAGGTATGCACCATATGTGTCATCTTCTTGCGCCCACATGCAATGTCTTCTTGATCTTCTTGCCATGTGCATTATACATGTTCTGCAACTCACCATGC